AATAGATAAATAGAAAAGATTAACTAAATAATTAAAACTTATTTATATTATTATATTAATTTTAAGTAAAATAACTAAGTAGAACTTCTCTTTATTATATAATTTATATATAATAGTATAAAATTTAAATTAACTAGGAAATTATTCTTCTTCCTAAACTATAAATTTAAACCTAAAGTTTATTAATTACTAAGGTAAAAGGAAAATATTAAAAAAGCTATAATTAAAGTAGAAGATATAATTAAATTATATAATAAACTATAATAATAACTTAAATTTATTTAATAAAGGATAATTAAATATATAAATAAAAATAAAATTAAAGAATTAACCCTTTAGGAAAAGAATATAATTTAACTTTACTAATATATATAAAGAAATAAGTAAATAAATATTAAAATAAATAAGTTAAGTAATAAACTTAATTTTAAGAAATTTAAATTTTATAAAGTTTTAAAAAAAAATTAAAAAAGTAAATTATAAACTTAAACTTCTAAAATAATAGGAAAAATAAAGGAAATATATATATTTAATATTTTATATCTTTTTACTAAAAAAAGTATAAATTAATAAAAAAACTAAAAGATTTATTTAAGATAAAATTATTATTAAAAAAAAGGAAAAAGAATATAAGGTAAAAGATATTAATATAATAAAAATAGAAGAAGATAGTAAATAATACTATAAGGTATAATAAAAAAAAAGGGAAAAAAAAAAAGAAATATAAAAACTTATTAAGTATTTTAAAAACTTAATAATACTAATAGAAAAACTTTACTAAAGCCTAAGGATTATACTAGCTTAGGATTTATTAATAATATTCTTAAATAATTTACTAATTTTAAAAAAGCAGGAATAACTTTAAAAAAACCTTCTGCTAACTATATTATAACAGCCTAAAGAGCAGCCTCTACCTTACGCTTCTTTTATTTTAACTACTTTAACTTTACTAAATTATTAATACCTTAGGATATTATATATACTGCCTTTTTAAACTATTCCTTATATTATTTTTAAAAATAAATAACTTTAGCTATAAGATTTATAATTTCCTCTTTAATAGTTTTAACCTTATTATTAAGCTAATTACGTTAATAAGAAATATATAATAATTATTAAGGTATAAGAAATACTTTGTAATAAGATTTATAATCCTTAATATACTTTAAGCAGTAACTTAAGTTAACCTTAAAAGCTAAATACTAAAATCCCTTTTTTTTATAATAAAAGTAAGGTTTTATTTTAATAAATTATAATAATATAAAAGCAGTAAGTACTATACTTTTATTAAATTTCTTCTTTTTTCCTTTTATATTAGCTAAGTTAGTAAATTTTTAAATATAGAAAATTATTTTAGTAATAAATAGGTAATAAAATAAGAAAAATATCTATAAGTAGGAGATATAAATACTTATATACTAGATTACCTAGTCTTAGGGATAAGACTAATAGGAGAGGAGAATTATATTATAACCTAGCTCTTATAATTATAATAAAGGGCCTATAGAGTAGGTACTCCTAGATTAACATTAGACTACGTAGCTAATTAAAAAGTAGTTAACGGGAATTAACGTTAATTTTAATTAATGTAAGAATAAATTAATTAAGATTATAAATAATTTTACTTAACTTTAGAATATATAATTAAATATATAAGTTTACTTTATATTATTTATTAAAATACTTAAATAGCTAATTATTATTATAGCGTTTATAATATAATTAAATTAGAATATAAATACCTATTCTTATTTATATTACTAGCTATTGATAAGATTGCCTGTTACCGACCTGATTACTCCGCTAACATAAACTATAGAACTACTCTAAGGTTTATCCCTTGGGAATAGCTAACCTATATTAACCTATAGGCACCGGTTTGTCACAACCTCACTATATGATGAACAGATTAGGTGCCACGTTTCGGGTTGCACCGCCCAATCCCGAGCTAAGCGATAAATGAAATCAACAACAGCACTACTTCCAGTTCCACTAAGTTCCAATATGCATTTTGTGCGAGCGGCAAGTTTCCTTTTTAATGATCTCAAAGCAACATCTTTCGAGTTCTTATCTTTTGGAAAGCTGTCAATATTCATTGGGGCAAATCTTGATTCTTCAATCAACCATATTTTAAACCATGGGAATGGACCGTCAGCAGCTCTTAGCACTTGCATCATATAAGCAGCATCCGGGAGGTTTTTGGGTCTAATACTACCCCAAATAGCGTCGTATAGAGATAAGATGTCGCTAGGCAGAGCTTCCAAGTCTTTTCGAGCTTGAGGTATTGATTGCCCTTCAGACAATAAGCCCAGTAGGTGCTTCACAACAATCGAAAGCCATAGGAAGACTCCATTCGCCCTTTTTGCTATATCGGTAAGCAACTGAGTAGCGCTTTCGGGATATAACTGCTTTTGCTCAGCAAACGCGTTGTTATCATTAAATTTGCTGTTGATAAATATCTCCATATCGCTATGGGTTTGCAAATGCATTTGAAGCATTGGACACTGGTTGAATTCATCCTGAAACTCAGTCCAAGGTCGGCTTGCGGCACACAATTTGAGTCCACAAGAGCATCGCGCCAGTATATGCTTAATATAATCGACAATTTCTGCGGGTGGCATACTAAATTCGTCGAGTCCATCGATAAATAAAGCGAGCTGGATAGTCTTTCCACACGAAGACAGCAATGCCTCAAATGACTCCGCTATCTCCCAATCGGTCCACTTAGGAAGGCCAGAGATGTTTCTCAGGGCTTGACAAAACGCCCAACGCCTTGGTGATAATACCGGCGCTAATTCTGGGAATTGCTTCAGCACCTGGAATATGACAGTCCGTTTAAGACCTTGGAGGGATTTTTGCAACATATTGCCCGGATTCCATGCATAGTATTTTACGAGAATAAGGCGCAATGCTCCTAGCGACTGGGATAGATTGTCCCATAGGGTTTCGTTTTGCATTATTAGTTTCATCATAGTTGATTTGCCGGAACCTGGTTTGCCTGTGATCCAATAGACTTTGTTTGAATTATCTTCCAGCCACTTGGGAAAACTGCTCCATAAGGGCATGCTATCCTTTATCGGGGGTTCTTTCTGAAATATCCATGAATATGTCGTCTCAAAGCTCTTCGGGATGGCCTTTTCACGAGACTTTATGTCATTGAACTGAATATCGGCGGCAATAGCTTGTGCGACCATGATAGGGTCGATATGTGCTGAACAGTCGTCAGTCATATTTTCAGCCGGCTTCCAGTCATCTTTCCACAGATGATTGAGAAGTTCTTGGCGGATTGTGGCCATTGACCCAGTCCCGGCTTTGACATGTTGGATTATGTCTTCCGCCAACTGGTTTAAAGATAGCAATCTTGTCCCGGGTTGAATAAGTGGTTGTATTGCTTGGCCCAGCTTGACCACTCCCTCTTCTACCACTGTGAAGACGACTGTGCCAGATTCGGAGGGGCTATTTTTTGGTTTGTCTGGCCTATGATGCTGAGTTCTCCACTCTGCTTCCTGGTAAGGCAGTGGCGGTTGCAGATGGGAAATGTCCATCTGAATCTTCTCAAGCAAGCCAATGGCTTTGTTGAGTTGGTTATTAAATTGCAATTCACACTGTTCTCTTCGCTTTGCATCATCCCTAAAACACGCTCAGTAATTAGTGGTATGTACTTATTCCGGATGTGCAAGTGACATCTCATTAACTCGGACATGCAAGTGAGCGTAGCATGTATGATAATGATGCAAATAACGATACGGATATATGAACTGAAAAAGCATACCAGAGACATAAGATCATTGCATCAATTATGTTGCGCCTTAATGGCGCAAATTCGCTCTTGATTCTCAAAACGGCTTGCATATTGTTATTGAATTCGACACTTTCTTCATCTTTTGCCTTCTGGCATTCTTTACAATGGTTCTCTTCCGCAGATGTATTTGAACCACTAAGCATATGATTTCGCTGATGTAGCTCTGAAATCATCTTCTGCCTCTTAGGTGGCTTCATTGTATTTTTGACCCTCTCGAAGTCATTCGAAAGAGCGGTGCATTTGGATAATAGCTGCAATAAATGTAGCTGCGATTGTGTCTCAGCGTACTGAGATTTTGTCATATCTGCGTCAACTTGTCGGATTCCAGCAATTTGAAAGGATAAGTCATCGAGGGTCCTGCGTAGTTCTTCGCTTCGTTCCGCAAACTTTTGGGCGTCGGGCATTTCTTGGCGCATTTGTTTATATTTTTCCCAGCCATTATTAAGGAGCTTTCCACCGAGTTCCAGAAATTGGAACACTGCGGCCGCTATCGCGAGTGCGCTGAGAGGATCCATCTTTGCCAATACTTCTATAGGCTGATGTTTGGCTCCCAAATCTTGGCGTTGCTTTGAGCTATGTGTATTTGTAAATGATGTCTGATATGGCTGCCATAAAATAGCCCAAAAAATTGTATTGAAAAGCAACTGATAAAGGGTTGGAGAAAATGCGAAAGCAGGGATGCTTTTGTTGCTACATCAACAGCCTGATTTTATGTGCAATATCAGGCAGCCTGGTTGGGCATTCACGCATTATCAGCCACCCAATTATATCAAATTGATATTAAGGGAATCACCATAGAGCCATCTGACTAAACAACTCCTTTTTACTAAAATTATCTGAAGTTGCATGCCAGAATGTAATGCTTCTTGTGCTATTCTGGGAGCATCCTACAACTTGCGAGAGTCATCGCTGTGAAGATAATCTTCAGCGGAACATGGGTGGTAGCCAAATACGAGCATTTGACGGCTTCCTCAATTTCTCGCAAGCACCTAGCTTAAATTCCCTCTGAAGCCCCTTCAACTTTCCAGGGCATCTCTTGCGAAGGAGCGTCGTGACGCGGTACCGGCTTATAAGGAACGTAAGGGATAGTTAACATGACGTGGCGATATAATAGACGAAGCGATAATTGCTGAATAGTCTGCCAAAACGATTTTGTGGCCCTGGAATATGACAAGTAATAAGCTCAGGCAGAACTTTCTCATAGTAGATTCAGCTTCCTACTCTGTCATGTGTTGTTTAGATACAAGTAGACAGGCTATCTGATGCTGGAGATCCATGTCCAGGTACTTGCAATGCTGGATCGGCAACAGTTCCGCAACGAGGATTCAGCAAAAAAGGAGCTTTTATCAACAATATTCCTACAGTCATTTGCAAGTACCTATTTTATGAAACTATAAGGGTTCAATGCTAGAATGTTGCTATTGATGAAGTATAAGGTACCTTGATAAAGGATATTACAGGTAAAGTCAACGTCATTAGTGGAGTATTTTGGACATTGCCTGTAGGCAGCTACGCAGCGCCACTGAAGCTTATCAGTGCGATAAGAACCTTGAATCTTTGCCTCTTAACATCGGCTTGTCCCATGTCAGTCATCTTCCAAACAAAAACATTCCTTCACATTATATCGAATCTGCTTGTAGATCAACTGAACCGAGCCATAGCCCTTCTCTGATGCCAGATTCGCCATGAAGCTCGTGTCGCGACACATTCCTAAAGAGTTTGAGGACGAGCAGGTCTCGCTCCTACCAGAGGATCCAGAGGACATGGTCAGTCGCATCGTCATCGCCCGCCCCGCCGCTTCATTTGCGATTGAAGCTATCACGACATGAACAGCAGCAGCTAACGGCGCATCTACCCGCAGTGGCATGCGTACAACCTGATAGTCCCCGGCGACCTCGTCCATGCGCACGCAATACGAAAAGTCGTCAACATCAACCCGGGCACCGGCGTGCCAGCCGCCGAGCGAGTTCACACGAATCTCGCCATCCGAGTCAAGTCGACCTTTTTCGATCCCGCCGTCTCCTCCCTCCGCGTCTCTGGCGTTGTCGCCGCCGAAAACGACCATGTTGCCATGGGCGCCCATCACACGCTCGACATTGAGATAAATAGATCTTTTACCGTGGTCAAGCCAGACGGCTGGGATAGCGTCGCAAAGGCCACTCTGGCGCAAGCTCTGTCAGACGACAAGAACGGCGCCATGGCTGCGGTGGTGATGCAGGAAGGCCTCGCCAACATCTGCCTCATTACACAGTTCCGAACAGTCCTCAAGACCCGCGTAGAGAGCGTAGTGCCCAAGAAGCGCGATACAGCCTCGGATCAGGACGCAGGAATGCGACGATTCTTTGACAAGACCCTGTCGTCATTACTCAGAGCAGTCGACTTTTCCGAATCAAGACCTCTACTATTGGCGAGTCCAGGCTTTGTTGCGACAGATTTTAAGGAGTACATTGCGAAACAGGGCCGCGACAAGTCAGACAAGGTTCTCACAGCCGTAGCGAGGCAGGCGACAATAATACACGCCAACTCGGGACATGTGCACAGCTTGAACGAGGTGCTCAAGAGCCCAGAGGTTCTGGCTAAGATGAAGGATATGAATTACGCAAAGGAGGTGCAGTACATGGACAACTTCTTTGACCTGCTCAAGCTCGACGATGGACGTGCATGGTACGGCAGCAGAGCTGTAGAAAAGGCCATTGCTGACGGCGCAGTGGGACCTGGAGGGGGGGTGCTATTAATCAACAACTCTCTCTTCCGAAGTCAAGACCTAGCGACACGGAAAAAGTACGTTGCGCTGGTGGACAAGGTCAAGCTAGACGGTGGCGAGGCACGGATATTAAGTAGCGATCACGAAAGCGGACAGCGCCTCAAGATGCTGGGAGATATTGCGGCCACTTTGAACTATCCCATGCACGACCTTGACGAAGAGGAGGAGGAGCAGGCAGCAGAACCGACGCCTGATAGACGGAATTACGAGGACGAAATAGACATGTTAGATAGCGTTATTTAGATGAGATTGGATAAATACAAGTGTAAAAAGAGAAACAAGAGAGTCTTATCTGTGATGTGAGGGTTTTGCTGATGATGACTGAGCTCTGAGTCAACCGTCTCCTCCATTTTCCGGATATAGACAGATAGATGGCCCTTCCCAGTAACACCTGTTCATGCATGGAATCAATGCATGGAATCATCACAGTCGGCAGGCAAGTTTGGCCGCTCTTCCGCCTCGGCGTTAATGTCAACGATTAATCATGCATTCACCCAAAAAGGGAGAAAAGATGCCACAAACTCCGGGCGTTGTGTGCAGCACTGTGGGACTCTCAAGATGGGGAACTAACGAGTTGCCCCTCATCGATTCGGCGACCCCTCAATAGCGTGGTTGACATCATGCAATGGAAATTGTTTATAAGCACTCATGTTGTTCTCATTTGAGTCTTTTTTTCAACCTGTAAACTTGTAAACTTGCTTCAAGAAAAATTCGAGACAAAATCAGCAACAATGGCTCAGAAACTCACGTTGCAGTCGGTTGTCAAGCTCAACTCGGGCTATACCATTCCCCTCCTGGGTTTTGGAGTAAGTCTTACTGATACGAGACATGGCGTGTCCCCTTTTAAACAGGTTGCCGTAAACTTGCCGATATGGTGCTTACAAGTGCGCTTTTAGGTCTACCAAACGTATGTCACTCGTCGATATAGTGCATTTTGTAATGGGTGATTCGTATTGACGTTTGTTGTTAGTGCTGCAGGTGTTGCTACCGAAGTCTGCAAGGAGGCTTTGAGAATAGGATATAGACACGTATGTGACGCAAAACCTTGATTTTTCATCATTTCGATACTCATCCGTGAAATAGATTGACTCTGCTTCCGGATACTACAACCAGGGCCCTTCCGCCGCAGGCATTCCCGCCTCCGGCGTCCCCCGCGAAGAAGTCTTCTTCACCACAAAGGTCCCCGTGCGCGAGAAGCCCCTCGGATACCAGAACACGCTCGATCTGGTCGACATTGCCCTCAACGAGACTAAGCTGGACTACCTAGACCTTGTCCTCATTCACTCTCCCTACGGCGGCGTCGAGAACCGAAAGGGCGCCTGGAAGGCTCTCGTCGAGTCCGTCGAGGCTGGCAAGGTTCGCTCCATTGGTATTTCCAACTATGGCGTGCACCACTTGAACGAGTTGGAGGAGTACATCAAGGAGCTCGAGTCTGAGCGAGGCGGCGCAGGCAAGGGCGGTGTGATTTCCGTCGGTCAGTGGGAGATTCACCCCTGGCTGCCCAGAGACGACATTGTGCAGTGGTGCCACGCAAGGAACATTGCTGTTCAGGCATACTGCCCGATTGTTCGCGGTGAGCGATTTGGCGATCCCAAGGTTAGCGCCGTGGGCAAGAAGTATGGCAAGACGGAGGCGCAGGTTTTGCTGCGATGGAGCTTGCAAAAGGGGCTTGTTCCTCTGATTAAGAGTGTTACGCCGAGCCGTATTGCGGAGAATGCGGATATTTATGACTTTGAGTTGACGGAGGAGGAGGTTAAGGATTTGACGACGACGGAGTACAGCCCTTGTGCTTGGGATCCTACTGTTGAGCCTTTGGACAGGTAAAGGAATCGTCATATATGCGGAAAAAATATGCCTCTGTGCAGATAGTTTTAAAAATACAAATTGACAAGCTGACGACTGTGAGATAATGAAATCAGTTGTGTGTGCTATGAAAAAGTGAAAGCTAGCCGAAAACTAGAGCAGAAAGATCAGTAGGCTTGACCAAGGAATGGTCACATCACATAAATCTAGGTGACAACTCAACACAGAAATGAGTCTTCTCAGAATGTTGAAATATATGATCAGTTGCCTTAACCTATTACTATTAAACTGCGGGCGTAACCTCTCTACTTATGCTCTGTAGCCGCTCTGTAGCCGGACTGACCCCTGAACGCCCAGGTACTGATACTTCCTAGGTTGCTGCCCCTATTTTCAACACAGAAAAAGAATAACGGTTGTTTGCGAAGTGGAATTTATACAGAATTAATAATCGGTTGCCTTTCTCTTTTCTCTTCCTCAGAATGCAACTTTACGCAATACTGATATCCTTGCGCAATTTTGTCCATGTTGAATGTAATAAGTAGAGTGACCAAAGAGACCAGAGCCGCTGTTATAATAAATGGTGTCCTCGTGTTACCATCCGTTATATTTGGGATTGCCCAGAGGGCCTGAGAGAATTCGATTAATAAATGCTTCAGTTTTATGCAGCATTATAGAGGAAGCTGGATAACTCACCGCGCAGAATCCCAAAGGGAGGTAAAAAATGCTCACATACGTAAGTAGCATAACATTTTGTCCTACTTTATTTGCGATTCTTGTCTCTCGAATCGTAATCCACGCAAATTCCTACATTAACTCAGTAAAAATTCTTCGCCGCCAAGATACGTGGCTTCACCTACGAACTGAAGTAGATCTCTCACTGATTGGTCCAAATTTTCGAGTTTCTGGGTGATTCCAGCTTGGAACTCTTCCTTCAAAAAGCGCATTGTAATATCTTGTAAGGCTTGTTCTCTGTGAAAGCGTAGGTAGTAGTCTTTTAGAAACTCCTCGGCATCGGATGTTTGGCTCGCCAAAATACTGCGGAGATTGGCCAATTGCTGGGCATCCTTTGCTAGGAAATTTATCATTTCTAGCTTGTCTCCCATCTTCAGTTGTTCGACTCGCTATAGAAGTCAGTAAATAAACCGAAAGTAGAACGCAGCAATGTAGGAGAAATAGGGCATACCCTATCAGATAAGTGATCTTCAAAGGCTTTGCAAAAGCTTAACCACGGTGTTTTGAGATGGCCAATGAACTGTCGAAATAAATCCAGGTCGTCGTCTGGAATCCAGCCGTATGGCAACGTACTAAAGTAAACTATTGGAGTCCACGGGTCCCCTGGGGTTTTTGGTTGTATCATTCTCCACATTACTCTACTTATCTTGTTATCGACAAAACGCAGCTGGTTATCTTCGTACGAAGTTAAGGATAGCCGCAATGAAATGCAAATATCCCAGGTATCGTTACCTAGATTGTAACTTTTGGTCTGTAATTTGTTTCCTATTATCGCTTGTTTAAATAGGGAAACTGGTTCTTTTGACCAAATTGGGTTTTGCAAGTCGTCTGTTAACAAGCTTAAAATCGTTAGGGACCTCAATATCAGAGAAATATTTGATAGTTTGACGAAGAAGCCACTTACTAGAGTCGACTTGTGAATGTAGTAGAAGTCTTTAACAGTTCTTCGCGTGACAAAAATGTTGCAGGAAAATCAAGATTTTGCTCTCCCCCTCTTTTTTTAGACAACATAACGGTATCGTATTCTGGTTTGTTATATGCCTGACGCCACTCCTTCGCCTCGATATCTTTGGTATCTGCTTTATGATTGAGCAGCTCTTGAACAATAATCTTATGCTTTGCTCCAATCGCTAATCGAAGCGGTGTTTCTCCAGTATGATCTTTGCTGTTGATTATTTCTTCGGCCTTGCTTAGCAATAGACGATGTCTTGCAATGTCATAGTGCCCCAACAGCGCCGCCAGATGCAAAGCAGTTCGGCCTTGAACATCTTTCTGGTCAATTTTGAGACCTTCGTGCTGCATCAACTTTATCGCAGCAGCTTGTTTTCCTTCTTGCGTCAGAAGAAGTAATGTGCCAGTATCGGCTGACACGAGATCCTCCACAACCTCCTCGTGCCCATTTTCTACAGCCACCCAGAGCGGTGTCCGGCCATCGCGATCCGCGAGATTAACATCGGCATCCCTTTCAATCAACAAGGACACAGCTGCCCTATGCCCTTTCTCTGCAGCCCGTGAGAGCGGTGTTCGGCCATCGTGATCCTTTATGTTTGACTTCAAGCGTAAGTCTTCATCGTATTCCGGTAATAAAAGTTTCAAAATTTCTACTTCGCCGTTCTCTGCGAAGAATGATAAAGTGGTTCGACCAGGCAAGTCAGATTTCGTGGCCAGGATAGAATCTTTGAGATCATTAAACCCTTTGTCTCCCGCCCACTCTATTACCTGGGCAAGGGAAACCCCGGCTGCTTCTAAGTCGAGATCTTTCCTTGTAAATAGCAGCTCAACCACCTTGTGATGATTCTTTCTCATAGCGGTATCCAGCGCCGTCTGATAATTTGAGCGTACATTGACATTGATATTCTCCACCATAAACAGCAATTCCATAATTTTTGTTTGGCCATTCCTTGCAGCTTCTATCAATGGCACTCTTCCCTTTCCATCAGTTTCATTTATATCGATATCATTTCTTTGAAGCAGTAGCTCTACCGCTTTGATATGACCCTCAATCGTACCTTCAATTAATGCCCGATGGCGGGCAGCTGGTTTTAAATTAATGTCATCACGTCCCAGTAGATGCTTCACAATAGCAGTCTTCCCATGCTTTGTGGCAACCACTATAGCCCTCGACCCGTATTCATTTCTTGCATCTTCGTCAATTTCGTTATTTTCAAGCATCAGCTTTATTATATCCTCGTGCCCCTTAGAGGCCGCCGCAGAGACAGCCCGCCCGTAAGCCCCGGAATCGATTTTATTAGCATATTGCAGTAGTATCTCTACTACATCTTTGTATCCATATTCCGCAGCGTACTTTAACGGAGTGACTTGAAAGCTATTTTCTGCGTATATGTTGGCATTGTATTTTTCAAGTAGCAGCTGGACTGCTTCTTTACGCCCGTTTCTGGCCGCTATCGATAATAGAGTGTTTCCGTCTTCGTCTTTATGGGAATCAATGATCTCAGTCGCTGGTAATCCCTGGAAGATGCTGAGGTCTCCGTCCTCTACTGCTTGGAAGAGATCTTTTGTTTGGGCCATGGTGGCTTTTTTATTTGTAATCCAAAGAGATGGAACAGTGATGACAAGATAAATTTGTAGAATAAAAAGCTATTTCACAACATGCAGACAGCATGTTCATAAATTAGCAGGCTAAAGACTGCGTGTTCGACAGCAGAGTTTTTATTGCTGCCGAGACGTTAGGCTGCGGGACGTTAGGCTGGATCAGGGACTGTATGTACGCCTTGCGTATTTGGACTGACACTGCTACCTTACGTAGCATTCCCAAGTGGGTTATCCAGGCGCCTGGGCACAGGTATATAATCCGCATGTAGGTGTTCACTTGAGGGGTTGCCTTTTGTGGATGCTATTCCCGTCTCCTGGTTGGGAGGATTTCCAAGGCTTCTCAAGTGCCTTGGCCGATTCTATAAATTTACTTTTTCTAGCAACCGATCAAGTTCATGAGTGCTCCATGGATAGCAAATTCTACAATCATGTCAACAAGGGCACCATGGGAGAGCCGCGCCCCTGCCATGCGTGTGAGGATGCTGGTGTTGGTTGACTGCACTGAACTTGCATGACGCCACATCAGCTGCAGACTCAGCCTCCGCAAGGCTTTTTCGATGCACAATCCAAGAAGGCTTAATATGAGTAAACAGAATCACGGAAGTGAATATGCAGAGATTAATTACACCATCGTATGCACATTTACTTCGTAGGGGATGCAAACCCGCGGATTAATGTCTACCTCTAGACGTTGCTGGTATTGCCATCACGTGACAGCGTATCCGTCTCGCGTTTACAGTTAGTTGTCACGCCCGCTGTACTGTAGCACTGAGAGTGAATCTTACCCCGCGACAACAACAACAACAACAAAACAAAACAACGCAAAACAACGCCATCATGCAATGCTTGGAGACGCCCCCAAGAGATTCCGTTCATTGAGCCCGTCGCAATTGCCACGATGGTTCAGCGGACCTTCACCATAGTGCCGCCTGCAGGGCCGGCCGAGCGAACCCCTGTCAATAATCGCCCCATGACATCTAAACAAGTCCGCAAGGCCTACAAAGAAGCAAATCGTGTCCCGCGCGTATCCAGAGCCGAACAGTTGAGACAGGAGAGAGCCGAGCAGGAGCGCATCCGGAAGGAGTTTGAGAAGGATAAAGCCGCATTGAAAGCCAGGACGCTCAGGGAGAAGAAGCGCGCAAAGGAGCAGGCGGAGAGGGAGGAGAAGAGGAAGAAGGGCCTGCCTTTGGTGAATGTTCGGCCAAGCCAAGACACCATTGCTTGGTTTGTGAGAGGAAAGGGGTCAGGCACCAAGAGAGATTGCAGAGGTCAGAATGCTGCGATAACCCCGGTATTGCCTATAGTGGAAGAACCAGAAGAGGACGAAGGTGACCTTCCCAGCCCGAAGCGACTCTGCAGCCAAGAACAGCCAAAGGACGCAGGCGACGAGGAAAAAGACTACTTCGAAGAGGAGTTCGAGGAAGAACAATTTGCGGCAGAAGACGTTGAGAAACCAGTAGAGAAAAGCGAAGAAATCCCGCCCGCGCCTGAAGGACCCGTTACCAAGGTTGATACTGCGCCAGAAAAGAATGAGCGCACTGCCGAGGAAGACTTCTTGGAGGATTTCGAAATCATGTCGGATGATGAGATGTCGAAGCTGTCCTTTAACCAAGTAGCTACAAAATCCGGTGTTGTCAGCGCAGAGAATCGCCTCCCGACATGCCCGGAGGCTACACCAGAGGAACGAGGGAAGGGCCCTTCACACCATGAGACCACACTCCACAAACCAGAATCTCCCATCACAATCAAGAACCCTAAACCACTAGCTCTTCCAGAGTTTTACTTGATATCTGATGACGAAGACGATTTGGAACAGGAGATGCTGGCTCTGGACGTTGCCCTGATTTCCCAAAACCAGCTCTCAAAACAGCCCGCGCTGGTACTTGTATCTCAAGGATCCCAGAAGCCGGCTCGCAGTGCAACAGGCTACGAGATGGATCTCGGACTCGCTACCGGCCCCCTCAATAATATTTCTCAAGAGAACCGCTCTAAAAGAGACGAACAAGCGAGTCTTATGCCACCGCCGCCGATACCCGCAGCTCCACAGCGCTCACGCTCCCCTATATCACCCGTCGCGATGAAACCACAGGCGCCTCCTCTTAGCACTCAGCAGATTCTCTTTAACATGGATGATTTCTTCCCTACGTCTTCACAGCAGGCAGCAGAATTGGAAGAAGAAGAAACTACATTCATCTCTCAATCCTTGAAATCGTGCTCGATACCTCGAGCTAAGGCTCCGAGCCCTATCGCGGAGAAAGACTTACCACCCCCAGATACAGCGTCTTCATCCCCCGAACCACCCAAGCCCTTTTTTACTGCGTCTGGGTCCAATGAGAGATTGGCTGTGGCCTTACTGCGTAGCCGACGAACAGCAGAGCAAGAGGAAGAACAGAGAAGGCGCGCCCTTCAATTAGAGGCCCTTGAGCTCGAAGAAGCCAAGAAGAGAGACTCTGAGCGTCGTGCTCGAGAGAAGAGACTGGCAGACAGCAAACCGAAAACGAATACCGCCAATCACACCCCTTCGAAGACAGAGCCTCGTGATAAGGGGCAACCCCCTCGACAAACAAGGCCAGCAAGTGCAACAACGCCGCAGTTTTCAATAAGAAAGGGGTTTACAACGAACCCCAACCGCACTCCTGCAAATACATCTGTACAGAGGACTCCTCTCGTTGCGACACGAGCCAACGCCACTCTACCAACTACCAAGTTACTACCTACGGCTGAGATGAAGAGACCTTCACCTATTGGCAATATTCCACGAAAGCAGTCATCCCCTACCACTGCTAAAGTCGCAATTGAACCGCAGCCTCCGGAGGCTCAAAACACAAGACACGAGACACTCAAAGCGATGTCCAAAGAAAACACGACTTCTCCTGGAATCAGCGAGGCTAAGCACCTAATTGCTTCTCAGGAGTCAGAATTTGGCGGAAGCTGGATGGACGAGCTGGCAACGGAGATTTCCCTATAATGTATATATTGACAAACGATACAGCTGCAAATACGGTTACGAGAGACGAGAGACGAGAGACGATATACCCCTCTGAATAGACGGCGGACAGCAGGTACATGGACGGATATGGCGGACTTGGGTTGATTTACTCGGGGTTTACGGCGAAAAGGGACTTGAGGCATACTGATTGATATGGCATTGCATTGCGTGGCGGATTTGTGTTTCGTTCTTTTTTCTTTCTGTAACTATTGAGATTAGCCTTTTATGTATTTGGTACGATTTAGTCTGTGTTGACGACTGTGAAATACGGGCTGAATGCGATGAGCTTTCTCTTCTAGCTCACTTTCTGTACTTCTCTCTCCTTCGCTGTGAGGATGTATCGTCCTCAATACCATTCTAGCCAATGCTAGTATCAGCATTACATTACCTTACATCCTATATCTATCGATCCAAACGCTTCACAACTCCCATAGCACCACGTATCCATAACTACCAACCTCATCCCAACACCAACCAACCAAGCAGATGATACAACACACCAAACATCTCATCCATCCCATCCCATTCCGTCCCGCGCATCCAATGCAATCCTTCATCCACCCTTCATTCACACTCAAATGCACAAGCCGCATTAGTCCCAAGCACTCCCCCAGCTAGTCCGCATCCCCCATCCCACGAAACTAGACCCGAATCATCCCCTCCATCTCATCACGCGCCCATGCTTGTTGTTTTGTTTTGTTTACATCCCAGAAATCATGCATACTCGTACATATGTAAGAAAGACGCCCGTTATATATGGCAAAAGAGACTCCTTGGCGAAAGAGTCCATATACAGTCATTACTTAAACCTAGAGTTTCCCAATGGGTATCTCCCTCTCTTATACTCTTCCTCATCCTTATATCAAAACACCAACACACCTAGTTTAAAGAAGAAGCCCAAAAAAGAAACACCAAGAAAAGAGAAAGAAAACCCGTCTATGCGCATTCATTGAAAAGAAGAAGAAAAGGGGAGAAGAAAAAATTACTTCCTGCTAAAACCCTCCTTCTCCCCCCCTCACTTTGTTCCTGAGCGTACATTGTGTGTGTTGTGTGTGTGGTTTTGCTCTCTCTACCAAAATCGTGTGTGTGTTTAACCCCCTTCAACGCCAACAAAAAAAAATATGTGCAAAATGAAGAAGAAGACAAAAAAAAAAAAAAAAGGTTCCCTTCCCTAAACCCTTTCCTGAACCCTTTCCCCCACCCCTTCGCTTATGTACCTGAACCAGAACCTTTAAAACGCCGCCATTCTTTGTTCCCTGTGCTAACAAAAAAAAAGAAGTAGAAGAAAGCATTGTGATGCTTCTGTGTGTTGTGTTCTCGCTCATTGTTGGTGAATCCATTTACTCCGTTCCCCCTTCCGTGTTGTTGTGATGATCAAAACCGGGTTTCCAGATGGGACATGTGACCATATGAACAGAATGTCCTACATCTTGCGGGAGAACGCCATTTGCTTTTTTCTTCTTCAAAGGAATATGCCGACCCATTCAGTCTTGAGAGCCACTTTGGTTTCGCACCCATCCACTGCACAGCGAATGTCGTTGGGAGTTGTTTTGCCTCCTGGGAAGCCTACTCCGTCGGGAGCAGTCTTTGTCGGTTTTCTGTTTTCAAAGCACTCGGCACAATATACCTGTTTGATGGAACAAGCGATCCAGTTAGTGAGGTTCATGAAAACCTCAGGTGTTTAAACGACAACAACTTACGTGACCGCACTTCTTTAGCGCCCAGAAATGGTGCTCTCCAGGTGCCCTCTTCCTCTTCTTTGACGGCGTGGACGGTGTATCGGCAGGGTCATAGGCGAGTTCTTCGTTGCAGGCCGGACATACAACCACCATCTGCTCGGTCTTGTCGTCGGCTCGGGTATCGCGGGTAAATCCCGTCCTGGCGGGTGGTACGGGCTCCATTGGGGGTTTGGGCGTCGGTTCACGGTTCGGAAACATGGTCTGCAGCTCAGGACCGAGATTGCCGAAGCTGCCACTCAGAAAGCCAGCCAGCGTTCTACCAAAGACTCTAAAATCGGATTCGAGCTGCTGGTGGTTAATTAAGTCGAGCGAAATGAGGCGGTCGCGGCCGTGGTGGCGGAGATGTTCGTGGGTGTGGTGATGATGGTGGTGGTGATGATGCCGCGGGTGGGCGCGAGTCCGCCAACTCTCGCGGTTTGGTCGCTGCAGCTCGTCCTCGGGCGAGTCTGCCGTCAGGTCGATGAAGCTCGGGGTGCCGACAAACGTGCTATCGCTCCTCGAGAGCTGGGGCGGCGAGATGCGCTGTGAATTCGTCCTCCGCGGATGCCTCCCGGCGCTGTTGTGCGGCACCTGCTGCAGCATTACCTGAGGCCCGGCGGCCTGCGTCCTTCGTCGGTCCACGGGTGAATCTGGCTCCTCGGTGAGGTCGATGACGGCAGATCCCGATCCTGAGCCTGTTGTAGCAGCGGGGGTTCTGTGACGGCGAGAGGAGGAGGCCTGATGCGAGGGCCGCAGCCGCAGTTGTGATGAGGCTGACGGGCCGGCAGGCTGAGGCCGGCGAGACTGACCAGCTGGTTGGTTCTGGTTCTGGAAGCTGAATTCTGGCCGCCGCGGGACGCCTCGCGGGTTCAGCAGGTTGTCAAAGATGCTGCGAGTCTCGGTGATCTCGACCTCGACCTCGGCCAGGTCGTCGTCGCTGGACCCGAGCACGTCGTCGCCGGCTCGCGACATTTTGGTGCGATGTTTTGGGTGTTGGAGAAGATAGATGGAGGGAGAGAGAGCGGAGGCGGCAGAGGGAAACGCTGCAACGGAAAAATCGGCGACTGGTCGGTTCCTTTTTCCCTCCAGTTGTATGGTAGCCTATTGTATTGCGTGTGCGGAGGGAATTCACCGTTGCGTAAGGGTGGCGTTGTGTTGGCCGGTTCAAAAATCCAAAGTCGGACGAGGTGCTGCCAAGGGCAAGACTCGATATAGCGATGATGGCGCCTGTAGCCCAACAAGCTCAGATAACATAAAACCAACCCCTCCTAGAACAGAGCGTTTTCAGCCTGTGGGGAAAAGCGCAACCTTTTGGGATTTTGTTTTTATTTTATGTTTTTGGCAGCTTTTAGTTTTTAAATTAGAATCGGTCCGCCGTTCACGTGGCGATATGTCGAGTGAAAAGGGAGCCAATATTGTTTGCTTCTTCGCTTCTTCTAAGCGCCCGGTTTGCTGACAAGCGCCCTTGTTATTTTTACCCTTTCTTGTTTGTCGAGGCGAAAAAAGAGTTCCAATGGTTTATCGATCTAATGCAGTGCGTCAAAAATCACACGAGCCGGTGCCATGTTCGGATCACCTTCGGCACCTGACAAATGAAATGTGCGGGAGAGTAAAAAAAATTCCAATAGAAGAGGCAACTTTCGGCGATATGAGATATGACGCACCGTTCACGCTGGGCTCATTTTGCAGTGACGGCTGGGGCGAATCGCACTTTTATTCACCCGCAAGAGCTCCATGACTCGCGCCTTGATTGCTATTATGCAGTTCTCATGCCTTTCTGAGGCCAAGCGCAATCTCAAGGGCTGGCTGCCTACCCGGCACTCTCTAATTTGGGGTGTATCATGTATAAAACAGACATGCCTCCGTGTCTCCAGTTAGGCAGGCAGGCAACTCACAGTATTCGTAAGTAGTAAGAGGTAAATAATAGATATTCACCTTGTCATTGCACGGAGAGAACAGGTCTGCAAGCCTTCTGCCTGATATCGTATTTTGCTCCTCTGCTAGTAGACTGGAGAGAACCCTCTCCTCAATGTACAGCCCGTTTGACACAATCTAAACCACCTCATGCAACAGATTTCCCAAAAGTCCCGGCGCGTATTTAGTATTAGGAAGACGCAGAAAATAAAACCGTAAAATTCAAAAACATTGGCTTGAATCAGCAGACCCAAATCACTCTGCGCCAATTGCCTAGTTCTTGACGCCCAGCACGCTCACAACTCCCTCTCCGTTGAGAGAAACCAGCTTCTGTCCCAACTCGCCCCATCTGACAGCAACCGCTGGGACGGAATTCCGCAGAGGCTCACTCCACTTCTTGCTCGACTTTGTGTACTGCTGCACCGTAATGCCCGTGGCTCCTCCGGTGGCGAGGAACTGGCCAGAGTAGTCCCAGGCCAGTGACTGAACTGAGCCTCCGGTCTCGAGCACCTTGGAAACAGCGGCGTCGCCTTCTTTGCGGAGGTCGAAGATGGTCACGCTAGTCTGTCCCTTGGCTGTGGCCGCCAGCATGAATCCGTTCTCAGAGAAGACGAGGGCCTGGACCGGGGCGCCCAGCTTGAAAACGACGGCCTGGTCGAGTGTCTTTGTCATGTATAGCTTAATGTCACCAGTGACTGTGCCTGCGGCAAACAAGTGTCCGTCGGGGTGGAACGCGCATGTTGTCAAAGCTTTAGAGTCTCGTTAGTCAATAGTGTTCACAAAGCAGCCAACAGTTGACGAATTCCAAACTTACCAGAATCGGCGTATGCCCGGCTGACTCGCTTCATCGTCTCTAGGTGGTAGAATACAATGCTCTTGTCGGCGCCTACAGAGGCGAGCAGGTCGCCAGAAGGATGAAGACTTAAGCCGCTAGCAGCTCCAGCGTGCTCGGAGAATGTGCCAACCTCGTTGCCTGCCTCGTACACCTTGATGTTGCCCTGGCTGGTCGCAAAGAAAACCTTTGAACCAGCCCAGAGGGTGTCCGTCACGGGCTCGTTGACGGGTACGGTCCTTTCCACGTTGTCGGCCTCCACAGAGTAGATGGCTGCCTCCCCGTCCAATCCTGCCGCTACGGCGTAGTTGCCCTCCAGATCGAGAGAGGTAGCCTTTGGAACAGACAGGTCATTTGTTGTCGTAGTTTCAAACGATGATACTTCTTCGCTAGAGACCCATCCCTCGGGGACAGAGCGCTTCTTGCGCCCCTTGGACAAGCTAAAGAATGGGTAAGCAAATGGTGAGACTGCAGCAAGAAAAGGTAATGGGATGCTGACCTCTGATGTATCTGGTCCACCTGGGCCGCCAGATCTTCCGGCAGCGCTTCGACGCTATCCACAACCATGCCCTCGCCGTTGGCAGCACCGTCCGTCACGGTGACCTTGCTCAGCGAGTCTCTGGCCTCATCCCTCTCTCTTGTCAGTCGTGCAATGACGCGAACGGCGGCATCATGCTGGTATAGCGCCGTCGCAAGCTCCTCCCTCGTCCGTGCCAGCTGCTCCCTCAGGTTGTATGTTTCCAGCGCCAGGTTATCCCACTCGTTCTGGAATGTGGCAAGGAGCGCAGGGATCGAAGTCAGAGTAGGGGGGCGAGGGCGTGGGATGCGAGAGGAAGTGATGGGCAGCAAGTCATCGACGGTGATGGCCTCGCCGTTGGGTTCTGAGCCATGTTCGTTGATGTACTGTTCTATCAGCCGCTTCTCGTAGACGATTCCTAGACGCAGCCAAAGTCAGTCAACTCGACTCAACTCAACCCTGTGCCACATGCGGTGTTCTGCATCTATTACTTACCCGACTTCTTGGACGCGACAGGCTCTTGAGGAGCTTCTCCGGAGACTAGTAGAGCTGCATTAGCACAATGCACAGCGAGGGGAGAGGCCTATAATGTCTCATGTAAAAAATCCCGGGGCTTCACTTACTTCCGCAAAGCATGGTGACTGATTTTGAATCTCCTCTCGGCTTCCAATGGCAAGTTGCAGAAACCCAAAATCCTCATTCGCCGAAACGAGAAACGGAAACGAGGCTGCAGCTGCGTTAGGCGCGCGACCAGCATCCCGATCGAGATTTTCCGCTCCAGACGCACAGACCACGCACGTCACGAGCTGATAAGTGCAGTGATAAGCCTGCTCGTCAACTACCAACTCGGTATCGCTGCGTTTGTCGCTCCACTGGAATTGCGGGGAGTTAGGGGATGAGCTCGTCGTCTGACTTGAGCCTGGCGGTTGGTTTCTTGTCCTGTAACCCTTTTCTGAAGGCATCGCGAGTTGTTGATCTTTTCTGCGCTGGATTCTGGCATCTTTTGCGCGTGTCACGACCAGCCTAATTCGCCTCTTCTCTCTCTCCCTCTCTTACAATCGATCGCTTCCTCGAACGCGGCTCTATTCTTCTTCCTCTACCATCTGTCTGTCTATGACTCTATACCCATAATTCATTCCCCTTCTTCATAGCAACCGCGAATCCCTTCTCTTCTCTGGACCCGGAGCTACACACACATACGCATACACCATCATGCCACTGGAGCGTCTCCCTCCCATTGCTCTCCTCCACTCGTATTCGGACCTGGCCCAGACCGAGGTGCTCGACCTGCTGTTTGAGCCCAGTCCCGCCATCCACGCCACTCTCCTGCCAGTAATCCGGACGGCCGTCTACAGCTCATACCCCGACTTGATAGACGTGTGCCAGATCAGGCTCCTCTCTCTCGCCGCAAAGTCTGCCGAGACAGAGCCGCACCCCGTGTTGCTGTCTGTCCTGGGATCTCACCCGCGCCTGGGAGAAAAGAACATTGAGTCGGCGCAGTCTGTGGCTGAACAGGCAAACCTCCAGGGAGAATCCGAGGAACTCGCCGCGCTGAACAAAGAGTACGAAGAGGCGTTCCCGGGGCTCAGATATGTCGTCTTCGTCAACGGTCGAGGGCGGCCCGACATTATGCAGGACATGAGGGCGCGGATCGAGCAAAGCAACTATTCCCAAGAGGTCGACGCTGCATTACAGGTACGGACCGGTGCTTCAACTTCAGTCAATCAGTCAAAACTTCACGATGAAGCTAATTCTTGTGGATAAATCAAGGCCATGTGCGACATTGCAAAGAGCAGGGCTTCCAAGCTCCCTGAAGATACTAATCGCAAGCAGTCCAACGGCAACTGATTTCGACGATTTATTACATTCATTTGGTGGGATTCTGATAAAATCAACTTCCTTAGTTTACACAAAACCGGGGGTTCAAAGACACAAACTCCCCGGGCCGCCATTCGCCCATAGCCTTAACTTTCATCCAACAAAACGCCTCCCCTCCAAGCCCAGCCTTGGCTACAATGCGCCAGCCATGCCAATAAATATACAGTAATTTTCCAGCCCTACAAGTGATTTCCGGACTTTCATATGTTGTTCTGAGTTTCCAGCCGTCTCTCTAAACAATGTGAATAACAAATGAGATGTGAAACAGAAAAAAAATGTCAACCTATCCTCCAAGAAATGCCGTCCAGCTCGTCTATGTACTCTTCATATGTGTGCTCCTCCGAGGGCGATTGGGGGCTAGGCGAAGTCGCCTTGGCCGCAAAGATGGCGTCGAAGTCACAGTAGACGTCGGAGTCATCGTCGTCCAGGTCCTCTGGGTGGAGGAAGGCAAAGCTGTCTTCCTCAGCATCGTCGTACATCCACGCAAGAGGCGGTCTCGGCTCCGGTGATGTCGTTGAGTCGATGCGAGCCGAGGTGCGATCATTGGTGGCATCGACGTCTGCAGAGGGAAGTGGCAGAGCTATGGGCTTTGATAAACGACAAGCCGCCGGCGCTTTACCCAGCGTTTCTGCAGACTGAATGCCGGTTTCAACTCTGAGTTCCCGTGATGCTGGAGTTGTTCCTTTGCTTGGCTCAAGGACACTGGGCCTCGCTTCGGGTGTTGACTTTACTTCTTGTGATTGCCATGGTGCCTTTGTGAATGTATCTGTGCTCGGCCTCACCGTGCTGTCTTCGCTCTCCTTTGTCGAGCCCTGATATCTCACAACACCGAGCCTCTTCCGCATCCGGTTCATGATGGAGTATCTCAGATAGGCCGTGGCCCGCAGATATGCAGCCCGCCGACTAGAATCAAGCATCACGGCCATCTTTACAAAACGCCGGTCACCAACCTGCCTGCCCTCTCTGTTCAAGATGTGCGTGGCAGGTTGGGAGAATGGCTGCGAGAGCCTGCTAGTAATGAGGTGAGTCCGAAGGCGGCGCTTCTTGCGGCCGACATTCGCTGTATTGGGACCCTCGACGTCGGATCCGAGACGACAGCGTTTAATTCCCCTGCAGACCCATTGTGCATCCAGCGAGAACTCAAAAGCCGTCTTGTTGCTGTGGTCCAGTATCGTGAACTGCACGAGGCTCTCTGGTAGAGGATACTCTCGCGGAGCGGCGGTGGGCTTCCGCGTGCCCTTGAGACGATGCCGATGGGGCGCCTCGAGTAGGAAATCCGAGCTCTTACGTTTGGACAGTGATTTGTTCAGTCTTGACCTCGTCAGGGAGCGTAGGCCGGACACGCCAATGGCGCCGGCATCCAGAGGATCATGACATCTTAGCGTTTGCACCGGCTCAAGTACGCTTTGCATGCTTTCAGACTCGGTGATGCCAGTAGGTTATAAGAATGGCCACGCCGTTATCGTTATCGACCCAGACTTCAACGTTTAACTGCAGGCTGAACGTGTTCCCTGCAGAAGCGATATGAAGCTCAAAGAGCACATGGAGTGAGTGAAATGACTCTTCGGCTCTCTTCACCCTTTCTCCCCTGCCCTGGTGTCACGAACGAACGAGGCAGCCAGCAACGACAAGCTATTGACGGAACTCTGTGTGTGACCAGAAGCAGGTAAGAAGGCGCTTCTGTCTAGGCGTGAATCTGGTGGAAACGGTCACAAGGTGAAGTTTGTGTGAAAGGCGACGAAGATGCTGGGACAAGAGACGAGACGCAACATAAAGCGGGGAGTTGGGACATTCAAGATGGGGCTCGGGACTGGTCGACCGAAGCCTCAAAAACGAGCTAAAATACTCGTCCGTTTTCTCGAAAAAAGAGCCCTCCCCCCCCCCCCCTTCACACGACTCTCTTCACACCACACACACTACACACGCCCCCAGAAATGGGAAAAAGGGTTAGCATCGCATCCAATCCAGCGGTTCCGAAGGCGCGGGTTCGCCCTTCTCCGCCCTCCAACTCCGACTTTCAGGACCATCGGCGCGTGGAATGATGGGATGTGGGATTAATTGAACTGAACCTTGACCAACACATCAAGGGGTGTGAGTGAGTGAGTGAATGTGTGTGTGTGGCATCGCAGCGGATTTCCACTTCTGGCCCGTCCATGGTCCGGGGAAGCACGGGCGGCTTGCAGGGGCGCGATCTGCAATAGTTGGGTGTGCGGATTATCCGAATGGGACGAGCAGAGCGAGACAGACACAGAGAGAGAGCAAGCATCGACATGGTGCGAATGAATCCCTTGCCTTGCCTTGTCCTCTCTTTTTTGCTCTGTCTCTTACGTCTCTCTCTCCTTCTCCCTCCTTACATGGCACCTACAGTACATGGTCCTACATGGTGTCTATTTTCATTTCATTTCTTGTGTCACACGTAGCGTTGCACTCGATGGGCCGCTTTGAGACAGCACAGCCGGTCAACCCCAGGTTCGGCCACTGCAGGACGACATCATGGCGTACTTCCCGTCCTTGCAGCGAACGGGAGTTATTGGTTCTGGGGCAGGGATGGGCGAGCAGGGATTTGATTTTTGCGGTTGAGAGCAGCGCGCACGCCCCCCGGTCAGCCCATTGCTTTTTCCAATACCGAGCGTGCATGCAGCTTTTCTTGTGCCTTGTAAGATGGAAGGCTATTCACGGGAGTAACACGTACGAGCACACCGCAGCAGCAACACTCGCTCCCTCTCACTCTCTCGTACATGCTTGTGTGTGTGCCTCACGATGAGACATGTGGCCTTTGTACATGCCTTGGCTGCATGTCCTTTCCTGCAAGCCTCAACTGTTAAAAGCGATATATTTAGCCCAGACAAGGCTCCACGACTCGCTCACGGGATCCACGGGGCCATGAGTAAATGGACTGACTGACTGACAGCAAGATGACGGGCATCTCGCAATGAGAATTTGGGTGCAGGCGGGAACAACACGAAGCGGCTAGAAAAGGGTCGGGAAGGGTCCATCCAGCCCGCGACCAAATACGATTAAGACCCCTGCCCCCCTGGTCTGGTCTGGTCTGTTGAGCTGAAGACGGGACTGGACTGGATCAATTAGTTCTTGTGCTAGCACGACAATGCTGGTTGATTTGCTTGCTCATCAACACCTTAATTCGTCCAAGGGGTTACATCTGCCAACTCAATTCCGTCGTCGCTGGGACGAGACGAGCCATGTAAGTACCGCCCAATTTTACACACTTCCCCCAAGTTCCCAGAACACCAGAAGCTCCCCCATCACCACGACTCTCCCCAAATCCTTCCTGGAGTACTCCGGACATCGAGCTGTCGTGAAACCATCACCTCGTCGAATCGGATCGCTGCCCTAGACCCCGATCCCCGTGATAGGCCACAAGGGACCTGGCAATATGCTATGCACTGCACTCATGCAACTTGTAATTAACCAGCGCAAACCCGTCTGGTCCAAGCCTTGAGACACTCACACACTAACACACACACACACAACCAGGCGAGCTTTGCCATTGTGATTTGCTGCCAGGACGGGGACAAAAGCACAGACAGATTGAGCATCATGCAAATCTGCGTCATCGAACGACATTTTGGGTGAGCCAGAGATGGTCACGTTGATCAAAGACCCTCCCAGAGACCCCCTGGTTAGTCTGTCGTGATGATTGCCACACCACTGCATTCGTTGGCTATTCAATCGCACTATCCCCAGCTGAGGTGTGGTAACAAATCACTTTTTCTTGCGTTGCAGCTTGTCTTTTCTTTTTTTGCTGGCTGAGGCGGTCGAATCGTTCTTTGTCCGCCCGTTTCTGGGGACTTCTTCCCCCAACTTCCATTATAGTCTTCTTGTGCATGGTGGCGTGAGTTTGGCATTGTGTCCTTTTTTACTTGCTGCATGCTGCTGCCCTCCCTTTTCCCCTCCCAAACTCTTTTTCGATCCCGCTTTGTCTGTGTGTCTCGGATTCTTTTTTAATCCCCTTATTTTGCCCGTCTTTTGGGATCTCGATTTGCTGCCAACCACCAACCCCCGACCCCGACTTGAATTAACCCACGAACCAAGACGGACGGCGGGACGGAAGTCGCCGTCCATCAGCAATTTGGTCGTGTCACGGAATGACAAGTAATAGTGCTACGGACTACTTGGAACTAGCACCCGCAGCTCTTTGCATTTGCATTCTCGACTCCCTATCCTTTCGACTAATAAGCGTCCTTGCCCGTCTTTCCCAGCATCCAGCATCAGCATCACGTCCAATAGTCGTTGCCGCCACTCAACTGCTGTGTTACCTGAAACTCCTCTCTTCGGCCAACTCAGTACTGCATAAACTCTCACCCCCAGGCCAGGCTTTTCCCCCAAAAGCCAAGCGCCGCAAGAAAAAGAAACACTGCGAAGCTATTTGGTTGCCTTTTTTCTCCAACTTTGGACCATGTGGCCACCCATCTTACAGCCCAACTGCCAGGATCGCGGGGTTGCTCTCGCTGCCTGAATCGTGGCCGAATGATGGGACGATGTTTTGCTAGGAAATCAGGCTGATGGAGGGCGACGATTGATCAGCAAAGCAGATCGTAAAAAGAGAGACCGATTCGAACAAGGCCCCAAAGTTGCCTTTTTTGTTTCCTCCCGCTATACCCGGTCATGGGTGGTTGGCTCATTTGGCCAGCAACCCATTGCTCCCATTCGTTCTTCTTCCCGACCCAAGCCGCCAGCCAATATTTGCGCCGCACGTAACGGTTTCGGGATACCTACTCTGTACTAAAGCGACGTTTTTCCTGCCGTACACCACGAGCGCATATGACGAGTCAGGCTGTCAGACGGGCAAGCAGCTGTTTTTGCCTGTAGGCCCTTCTGGCCCTCCCCCCATTCCCGCCTCTGGTGATGACTACAGCACGCTCGTGCTTCTGGCTTAGGCGGGACGCGTCCGCACACCAAAGATGTCATTGCGCCATCCGCCTCTCTCATACTCGTAGATCTTCTGGCTGGCGTCTTGAGCCTCACGCTCCCAAAGCTGGACTAGACTTCCCGGAGCATAGCGGCCACGGAAGATTTCCGGACGGACGCCAATGCGGGCCTCGATGTCTGGATGCGGCGTGGGGACGAGTCGAGCGGCAACAGCTCTGATGAAGGTCCAGAGGTCTTCGGGGCTAGCGATACGGGTTGCCCGCAGTCGCTCGCGAGCAAAGAGCAGTTCTCGGTTGAGAGTGTGAAGGCCGTCTTCGATTGCAGACGCAATGCTCTTCTCTATTGCCCTCTTCACGATGGGTCGGATCAACGGCTTGAGGAGCCAGGCGAACCATGAAAACTTGGATTGGCGCAGAGTGTAGTTGAGATGGTGGATGTGGACTCTTGCTCTACGGAGAGAGACAATCTTTTCAAGACGATCTCGTCCGATTTCAATGTCCAGCGACAGGTCAATGCCACGCTCGTCCAGGTGGATGCTGGCAAGGCCCTCGTCCATGAATCTCAATATGCCTGAATGCAGGTGCAACCAGTATCCCAGCTCTTCAGCTGCTATGGAAAGCCCTGAGATTTTAATCGTGGCCAGAGATGTGACGGTGGACAGGATTTGGAAGCGAGCTTTGCGGATGTCGACGTCATTCCGGGTCGAAATTTGTAACCTGTAAGGCAGAAACGATGAGTTGTTAATTGTTCGACCAGGTTCCAGGACTAGGTTTTCGAGGAGCAAATCTACATCTGGTGTCGAGACCTCGAGGCGTGGAATGGGCAGATACTGGATCCCCTGTATAAGCATCGGGACGAAGACGTTGACGAGATCCGTGGTCATGTCCTTGTTGATGTACTGGTTTTTCGGCGATACAATGTGCGCAATGCGAGTCGAGCTGTTAATGAGTTGAAGGACTTCAGCGTCCTCACTCACCGAGCGCAGGGCGGTGCTAAGGCTGCCGAGCAAGTTGTCGACTTTTTCTCTGATGGAAGTTTCCGTGGTAAGCTCCTTTGACTCGGTGCGAAGCTGCTCAAAACGCTTTTCCGCATTGTTAAAGAATTCCGGATCCATGAGGATATCCTGCACCAACTTGGAGATGTGGTCTACCAAGTCTTCGAATGCTGGGTCAGACTGACCGGTTTCCACGACCTCTTGAAACGACTTTTCGACTTGGTTCCAGGCATCTTTGTCACCGAATGATGTGATGAGCAGCCAGAAGTTGTGCAGAGCTTCATCGGCTTCCTGGTTCATGCCGACATCTTCTTCTATAATCTCAGCAGTGCGCGCCGCGGCGCGAGAGTAAACCTTGAGATAGCGCCTCAGGAGAAGGGATAGCATGGATACGGAGTCTGAGTAATTGGGCCGCTTGCGAAGTTTGAGCACGGCTTGCTTGAGGCGATATGTCAGGGCCTCTTGCTCGTCTCCCTGGATGTGTTCTCGCGCGCTGCGGGCTGCCGTGCCTAGGACATCGCCCGCACCGTCTGCGACCACTTCGGCTACTTCGATGACCTCTTGCTGCAAGTCCTCTGTCGTAGGCGCTGGTTGCGCATCTTCGTTTGCGTGTTTAAGGGCCTGCTGCTTCTCTTTGGGCGGCTCAATCTTTTTAGCGGCGTCTTGAGCTACGTCTCTTAATGTGAATGCTGTGTCGCGAAAGACTTCGCGGGAGACGGTAGATAGATCTGTAAGGAAGATGCGAAAGTCCGAGTTTGTGAGTAAAAGTGATCCAACCGTCTTGACGCTGGCGACGGCGGCCATGACGTCTGCCTTCATCTTGGCGGTTCCGGCCCTGACCTGGAGATCCGACGAGTCTACCTGGAGACGTGCCTTGGCCAGGTACCAGAGGAAATCTTGGACCTGATCATTGGCGTTTTTGGCTTTGAGTAGGTCGATAAGTTCACTGAGCCACATGCGCGTAGTTCGAATGAGGGCTCTGCCAGAAGGACTCAAGCCCGAAGCCTGGGGATTGAGAACATCGGCGGCGAGCAAAGTACGGAGATGAGTGATCATTTGTTCATTGGAGGGCATGTAGCCATTTGAAAGCGCCCGTAGCATCTGGTATGTGTGAAGCTTCTCATGGAGGCGAGTCTGTCTCTCAGTCGCCTCGTTGTACTGCGGGAGGAGAGGCTGGTGCTCTTCATCTTGGCGGCTTGAGAACTGACGTAGTGCCTGCCAGGAAAACATCTTGCCTTTTTTTTTTAGGGAAATGTAAATTGAAGAGGTAAGTGATTTCTAAGAAATGGGCGATATTAGATGTATGGTAGGTTCAAGGAGGAAGATGAAACTGCTGCGAGGAGTAGGCGTTGATATAAGTGAGATGATGTCAAAGTCAATGACGATCGCTTGACGTTTGGTGATGAAACACGGGGAAGAGCTTCCGGCGGCGCGTCAACAAGGATAATAAACTTTGTTTTTTTTATTTTTTTTTAAAGCCAAGTTAGATTAGACTATATTATTTTGAGTGACGGATTGATTGACGAATGTTGTTCATATTAATTGTTATTGATGTAAGGATAAAAGTCGCGGTTCCATTGGAATGACAGGGTAGGCTGCACATCATTACAGCAAGACATGATGCACGTCTGGGCTTGCATGTCGCCTTGGAACCAAATGCTACATATCCTCGGCCAGCAGAAAATGCTTGTTGGTACAATTGTAACATTTGATTTGTATCTCAATTCATATTATCCCGGGCGTCAAATATAATTTTTGGTTTACAGAGTACTGTAACAACATTCTCACGAAATTGGTGATCAAATGCTTATATAATGGCGAATTACAGCTCTCTCCTCGGTTATCGCTTTTAGCCTAACCATGTGAAGCTCGGGAACTTATGAGGCTTGAGATGCGCGTCGATTGCTGTATGTGGTGGTATAATCCACGACTCATTTTGTGGATTACTCATCGATAATTCTTGATTGGCTCTGCGAATTGGGCGAATTGCTGCGCATGTGTTTGTAATTCCAGGTACCTACAGCACCACAGTAAAACTCCCCAAGTACATGTGCTTTATTCGCACTTTGCACCGGTCAAAGCCACGGCTGACGGCGACATTACTTTCAACTTATAACGAGAAAAAAAAGAAAAATCATCCGGAGTGAATAGTATATAGACAAAGAAAAAGCAGTGAAATCAACATGGTATTCAATAGCCTATCTATATGCACCCGTGGAATACGCTGTGAACATGGCAGCCGGCTATTACGGGGTACAGCTAGTGCCTGTGGGCGGGAGCCGAGGTTCAATAACGAGCTGCACGGCTGTATATGAAGATGGTCGGGGGGTTGTACCGATATCATGTTCAGCTGCATCAATTTACTATTACTGGTATTTGATGATGTGAGCAGTGGATAAAGCTGGACTACAAACGAGGATTAGGAGCATTGCAAATTCACATCGTCAACCACGCATCGCAACACGTATACGTGTACTCGTACTTTCCACCATGGCCTCTAACAAGGATGCGCCAGCTGCGATTAAACGCAATGACCTCTATGAGGCTTTGAGGCTCTCACGACTCCCAGATGAGCAGAGTGGCTCACAGGATCCCGTCAAGAGATTCGTCAGTCGCACACCAGCCTGGAGGCCCGGGAATGAGCTGCCATGGGGATCCATCGACCCTGAAGGGTATAAGAAGGGTAACACGGTCGACTTTAACCCAGCTGCATTTGGAGGCCACGTCTTCGCCCAGGCACCCTTGGCGGCTGCGAGAGCGGTGGAGGAAGAAGAAAACGACAATGGCAATGTCAATGACAAACTAGGCATTCATGTGAGTCTGAACCCATTTTGACAAGAGCCATTTGCTGACATATATGCTAGTCCATCCAAGGCGTCTTTACAAAAGCGGGCGCGATTGATCGTCCATTCATCTATGATGTGACAAATGTCCACTCAAGTCGTTCATTCACCACCAAGCTGGTTCAGGCACGGCAGCCCACGGAGGCTTCAGATGCTCCGAATGGCCCTTTCCCAGAGTCTGATGCGAATCGGCCGCTTGGCCCCGTCAGTTTTACATGTCTCACAACATTCAAGCGTCCCATTCCCATGCCATCGCCCGCAGAGCTGCAGATCAAAGGGTCGGCACAGGAACGCTATGCCGACATCCTTTCGCAACGAGCACCGGACCAGTGGGAGGCCAGTCCTCAGGTGGATGTTGATGCTGTCACGAGAGTGTTCCCCAACGCTGGTCATGGAGGTTTCCCCATCCTGGACATGTACAAGGTGGACATGAAGGCGTACAATGCCGATAAAGACGTCCCTGAGCGGCGGGAACTCATTCTCTACCGCCCATATAAACCGATTTCCGAAGACGATCCCAATGCGCATATTGTCGCACACGCGTACGAGGCTGACCGCAACGGGCTCATTATGCTCACCAATCATCTTGGCTGGGGCTTCAATCTCGGCTCTGCGGCTAGTTTGTCGTATTCCTTCTATGTGCATGTTAATGCTGACGAAGCAGTCATGAAGGGAGATGGATGGTGGATTCAAGAGGTTTGGTGGCCGAGAGTGAGTGCAGGGAGAGCAATGATGGAGGTTAGGATATGGAGTCCGGAGGGGAAGCACGTGGCGAGCGGCTACCAAGACGGAGTAGCATTGCCGTCGAGTAATTTGACCAAGAAGAAGAAGAAGATGGGAGAGAAGCTATGATGGCGGGTAGAAGGAGGTTGACTCGATATTCGTTGTAGAGACGGGGAAGGTTTATGGGATTTGCGTAATGGCGGTACTGTACAGCGTAGGCGTATGGGACACCGGGATAAAGATATAGATGATGAAATGCTAGATATACACTAGATGATTAATGCTATTTATTTATTATAATAATGGATTGAGTGAATTCAATAGTTCCATGTAGCTTTGCTAAGGGGCGGAATACAGTATACATCCACAGACAGACATCTCCCCTTATCCCCCTTATTGTCTGCCAGGTTCAACATTGATTCAGAGCAAACAAACGCAATTAAATATAGGAATCTACTGTCACTAATTCACTGTTCTCTTTAGTCTAAGATCTATTCGCTAGAGCTTACGCAATCCATCCGTTTTCTGTTCACCGCCAGCTGCCACCAGAGACTGCCAGCTGTAAGGCAACCAAGCTTAAAGCATCGTGTAGGCTCTTGGCAGTCATGTTAATCGCCTGTAGAGCACGTGAATGCGCGTTTGCCGATACTTCTATAAACACGCCTTTTCGTTTTCTCTCTCCTCGCTTCCTCTTGTACTTTTCATCCACCTCATTCACCTCAACCACCTCGCTGGCTACCACTTTTGTCACAAAAGTGTGTCTCTGGCTGATACATCTATCTCGTCTTGATAGATACTTGAAACAGTTTTCACAGCTTTGGGAGTGTGTTTTACACACGCTATTCCATTCTTATCCGCCGAGCATCTGCGCTCGAGGAAGTAGTGAGTCGATGATAATTCTGCCGCACAAGATACCAACTAACATTTTCGCGCAACACTAGACAGAACAACCCCTTTCAAAGCTCAGGATACATTTATCTCGAATCACCCATCATGAATATCTCGAAGGAAACAGTTGACTCTCTCTTGCCGAGAGATGAAGCCGCCTTAAGAGCCGTGCTTAAAACGTCATACGACAGTGTGTACAAGCTTTCGCCTGATGGGAGCATATTCCTAGAGCCGTTGATTCTTCATGGAACGCCAGTCCAACGCATCGAGGAGACTTCCCAGTACTAGGAAAACTCGTGGGAGTCTCTCGAAGCATTCCTGGCGAAGCAAGAACCAGAGGCCGTCAAAAAGGACGAAGCGCACAAGCGTGTCCAACTCAACCCCAGCAACGACGCGCTGAAGCATGCCCACAAGCACTATGCGGACAACTCCAGCAAGTTCAAGAAGATTCGAGAGATCTTTGGCGAGGGCAGCAAGTATCATCCCAACCAACTCGTCGCCAAGAGATTCCTTCCTGCACGAGGCTTTTGTCAGAAAGAGCCCATGTACCGCCTCGCGTGCAAGATCTCCGACCTTCAACATCTCTACAACACCGGAGACCTCGTGATGGACCCGTTTGACTTTATCAGATGGCGCATTATCAAGAAGGTGGGCAGCTTGCTTGCCAACCCATGGGACAATCCCAAAAGTTTCATTCGAACTGTCGTCTACAAACTCGCTGATGACTCAGAACACACCGGTACCAAGACGTACCAGGACTCTGTCATGCGATACGCAGTCCTGCTTTCGGCCGCCCAGAGAAACCATCTTGGCAGTTACGGCCACAAGAGCAAGAACCGCAAAAAAACCTTGAAGCAGAAAACTTTACCCTATGCAGTGGCTGCTCCACGACCGAGAGTGAAGATTTCGAGGGATGATATTGTGGATAGCCGCCCTGAGGCTTCTGCAGCTGTGGCTCAACCGGTTCAGAAACGTGCCCGACTTGCCGCTGGCCCGCCTATCTATGCTGGTGTGAATGCCTACAGGGCTGGACAGAAGCAGCAACAACGCTCTCAACAACGTCCCAAGAGAAATTGAGCATCTTACAGCGAGTGTGATGAGCTGTAAAGTGTCGGGCGCATAGCAGCAAGGATCATGGGGGCGAAGGGCAGATATTGGAAGTGTTCATGCGCATGCTGGGAGGGAAGGGTAACGAGGCGAAGGTAATCTATGGTTGATTGCGGATTGACATGCGGGATTTGCTTTTGATTTGGAGTTACTTCATCATGACAAGGTCGGGTCTTTGTTTTCGGGAGCTGCAAGCTGTTCAAGCTCTATATACAGCTGGTTGGGATGCCCCCTCATCGGGCGATATGGTATTTGATGAGGCTGATTTACTTGGGGGTGTAGCCTCTGTTGCTTTAGTTGATAGCTGCCCCAGTCTTTTCAATTTTATATCCAGGTTGTTTGTACGGCTTTGATTCTTTTTGTTCACCCACAATTGCTATTATTAGCTATTACTTGTGTGGTTGGGGCGAGACTTGACGTTGGTTCTGTTCTGCATGACTATATCCGTCATGTATTATCAGCAATCAACTGCTACATAAGGTCATCAAGACGTCTTACATATCACAGGCAACTAAAAAAACCAGTTGAATAGCCATTTCAGCTCTGCTTTGTTTTCTCAGCCCCCAATGCATAGTTATGACGCCTATATCTTGGCATCTCAAATACACAAACACAATAACTCACAGCCCATAAGCTCAGCTCACACACAAAAGCTTAGTCACGTGTTTGCAAACCACAACCCGCTATTGGCCAATTCCCACCCGAAAGTGGGGGACCCAGTACCCATCCAACATCGCAAATCAGACCATCCGCAAATCCCTCGAACGAACCGAATCCGAACCTCTCTTTCACTCTCACCACCAACTTTCGCCCCCGGCTTCCGTCGACAATCATGTTCTTGCAACGCTCTGCTATCGCTGCGGCTCGCCGCGCCGCCGTCACTCCGGCCATTGCCCGCGGCTTCGCCACTTCCATTGCTCGCCGTATGCCTTTTATCTTTTTGTGACCCCCCCTCCGGCGTGGTGTTGGATGTTGTTCTTGGTTTTTGGAGGAGACTGCGGTTGGGGCGGGATATGAGGATTGCTCGTGGAGCTTGAGGCTGACGTGATGGACGACTTGAACAGGTTCTGCTGCTACTCCTTCAACCCCCAGCGAGCAGGCTGCTGCTCTTGCCGGCTCTGCCCAGAAGAAGGTCGGCACCTACAAGACTCTGTCTGGTATGTTGTTGTTTTCTTTTTCTTATACATGGTGCATATAGCACTGTCTTAGCTTCTACAACTAGCTACCCGTCTTCCTTCATCCTGCAGCATGGGCAATTGCTAACCGGAGAGCTTGATCCCGCGCAATAGAGGTCAAGGTCGAGGAGGACCTCGTCGGACCCGGTGGCCAGCCCGGCACCGTCCCCACCGATCTCGAACAGGCCACCGGTCTCGAGCGTCTCGAAATCCTCGGAAAGATGGAGGGCGTCGACGTCTTCGACATGCGCCCCCTCGACGCCAGCCGCAAGGGAACCTTGGAGAACCCCATCCTCGTCCGCTCCGCCGGCGAGGAGCAGCTCGCTGGCTGCACCGGCTCTCCCGCCGACTCCCACGTCGTCATCTGGCTCGGTGTAAGTGAAACCTCGGTTGAATAACACATAAAAACGAAAATGCGCAATAGGCTGACGAGATGGGAAAAATTGCAGCTGTCCAAGGAGCGCCCCATTGAGCGATGCCCCGAGTGCGGCAGCGTCTACAAGATGGAGTACGTCGGTGCTGAGGACCACGGCCACCACCACCACGCCCAGGAGATCGAGGAGCCCAAGACTTTCGCCGACTTCGTCAAGCCCGAGTACCGCTACCGATAAATGCACAACTTCGATCATGGAAGGACAAAATTCGGTGGCAAGCAGGGTTGAGGCGATGTACTATCAAGGCGCAAGAGTGGGGTGGAAGCGAAATGCCCATGCCTGCGGGCAGTGGGAGGCAGCTGTGTATTCTGTAGATACTCATGACTTTGTTGCAATGTGAATCACAAAACATTGACAAGATTTGGGGGGCCTGTGTGTGTTTTCTTGAATTATCTAATGCTGATGCCGGCTGGTTGCTTGTATCGTCTGTTATTCTAATGCGCGTCCGTATTGTCTCCAGCATCGTTGTTACACGACGTTATGGAGACGCCGTCATTGGAATTGCACAATGTAGGCGGGATCCCTTGATGTTGGGATCGGGTAGCTAAAGCATTAGTGCCGAGTCCCCAACTTCCAAATGTCGAGCTTGCAGAATGGAGCTCTTGCTACGTCGACAGATTGATGGTTCGTAAGCATATTGCAAGGTGAATTACTCCCAACATTGTGCTCGCTGTTGTATAAAGCTTGATTGGCATTTGAGTCGCCAATCGAACCGTTCCAACTCAGCCCTCATCTTCGTCAAAGCTCAGCTTAATCTTCTTTGCCTTCTTCTTGGTCTTGCGGTTGGTAGCCTGCTCGGCATCATCCGTGCCTTTCTTCGTAGCCTCAGCCTTCTTCTCCGTAGAGGGCTCAGTAGCGTCATCACGAGCATCTTCACCAATCACTTTGCCGACCTTGCGTTTCCTTCCTCCAATTGAAGCTTTGGCCGATTCTGATTCGCCTTTGTTCGTCTTGTTCTGCTCTGTCCCATCTTTGGGCCCCTTATCGGCTTCCTCATTTGGTGTTTCCTCCACAGTGCCGTCTTTATTCACCTTGAGATCCCCAATCGTGTTTCCATCTTCGTCGACAATCAACGGAGCATCTTCTGCCTCTTCGCTGCTGGATCGCTTCTTCCCACCGCGGCGCTGTGCTGAGAGAATCGGGTCCGGACCTGAAGCACCGGATGCCCGGGCCCGGAGAGCTGCGAGGAAAGGCGGGAGAGAGGAATCGTAAGTCAAATTCTTGGAGTTGATTTTTTGTGACATGGTGAGGCCTGGTTTGTGACGAGAGCAAGTTGAAGTTGTCGCCTTGAAAGACTGCTTCGAGGTCTCTTTGGTTTGCTGTGGTTGGTTTTGTTCCAGCTTCTTAGAGCTAATTCCAGACAACCCAGATCAACCAATCAGGTAACAAGACGGTTCCGTGGTCTAGTTGGTCATGACATTTCGTTAACAACATACGTTGACGCCACCGAAAAGGTCCCCGGTTCGAGCCCGGGCGGAATCATTGCTTTTTGCTTTTTTGAAGATCAAACAGTGGAGAGGAATTAACGAAGCAGATCGGAGACTCGGACTATCTGCCGCGAAGAAAAGGGGGGAAAATTGATGTTCCGCTAGCCTCTTTTTGTTGGCACGGCCCCTTGCTCCTGCTCGGAAAATTCATGATTCAAGTGGCCACTGATTGGCCATAGCGCAATTGGCATCCAGCAAGTCGCTCGTTTTAGATGCTGGTATGCAATACAAGCTTTCTGCTGCGGCAATGCTTGGCGGGCCAGGTACTCCGCAACAGTAGCACGTGCAATTGACCTCTCGGCAGGCCCTGAAAATCTGAGCCTTTCGCCCAGGCCAAAACCACTGGCACCACGCTAAATCAGACAAATTCCCCAATCAACAGCGGTCTGGGCTTGCTCCAGAGGCGAGGTCCAGCAAAAGTCTCCCTCTCTTTTTTTGCCTGTTGAGGGAAATCAAAAGTCAAATCACGACTTCCAGGATCCCATTGGCCTCGACGACGGAACTGACAGCGACGCTTCTCGCTGCGAGGCGCCTTATCTTTTGGCGCGAGACTGAGATTGGAGTCCGATTCTGGCCGGTGCCCCGCGAGAGGCGCATCCAATTTCCAGCCGGGGGAGCGCGTTGACATTTGCTCGATCCTTATCTTCTTTTTGCTGCTTGGGCGGCAGTCAATCCCATCGACAGGCACGAATTTTCCCTGCTGGCCGTTGTGTTTGGCTCGGTCTTTTGTTCGATTGGCATGACTCTGGACGGCATATCGACAATCTAAACCAATTCGATTCCCCCCTCCGACACCCAAAAAAAGCACCCCTGATTACGAAGTCCCTGCTATCACAGATCTGGCCTCTATACTGCCACTGCCACATCTCCACACCACATTCGATACGAAGCCTTTGTCGTCGTCAGCTACGGCCTGACCTGATTCCTTTTTGCCCGACCGGTTTACACGTCGATATTTGGCTTGCTGTTGCTGTTCCTGCCGCATAGGCAGGCTGGTTGCTCGTCACCATGGACTTGTTCAGGCGATCAAAATCGGGTGCGGGACGCCATTCAGAACTTCCGACGTCGGACGAGAAGCGTTCAAGAAACAAGGGGCTGTCGTCCAGCTTGGCATTTTTCCAGAGGCCGCTGCGTCTGCGCGGCAACTCTGCCGTCTCCATCCCATTGGGCGTCGTTCTCGTCTTCCCGGTGCTGGTGGTTGTGCTCATCCTGGTCCTGTTCGTCAGGCATCCCAGCTCCCCAGGCAGAATATTGATGCCCGCTGGCTCGCCGCCCGCTATTCGGTATGGTTAAGCGCCGTCTTCCCTATGAGTTCCCAATTACTGATTTGTCTATGTGTACAGAAAAATCAGCGAAAAGCATGACAAGGTCTTCGTTACCGGCTGTCTCGAGCCCGATACATCGACGCCTCGAGCCAACGCTGCATTCGTTGTCTTGGCCCGCAACAAGGAGATTGATGGAGTCATTCAGTCCATCAAGTCTGTTGAGCGACACTTTAACCGATGGTACCACTACCCCTATGTGTTCCTCAACGACGCAGACTTCGACGAAAACTTCAAGGCGACTGTGAGAAACTATACTTCGGCAAACGTCGAGTTTGGCAAGGTTGAGCCGGGCACATGGGGCTTCCCCGACTGGATCGATGAGAAGGTCGCAAAGGAGGGTATTGCCAAGCAGGGTGATGCTGCCGTCATGTATGGTGGTATGGAGAGTTACCACTTCATGTGCCGCTTCTACTCTGGGTGAGTCTGCTCCTTCATCAAGACAATGCTTTTTGTGACTGACCATTTGCGATTCAGCTTCTTCTACAACCACCCTCTGCTGCTAAAGTACGAGTGGTACTGGCGCGTCGAGCCCGAAATCACTTACTTCTGCGACATTACCTAGTATGTTACCCATAGATCTGTGTACCCCGAAAAAACATCACTAATATGCATGCCAGCGACCCATTCCTCAAAATGATCGAGAACAACAAGACTTATGGCTTCACGATTGCGGTCAAGGAGCTTCGCGAAACCGTCCCCAACATCTTCCGTTATGCCTCGGCCTATAAGCGAACGAACAACTTGACGTCACAGGGTCTCTGGGAGATGTTTGTGGAACCTCAGGAACACAAGGAAGAGCACGAGGACCCCAACCCGCCGCTGCCCGACGAGGTTTTGCAGGGAAAGCCAGCCAGTCTACCACCAATTGATCCCGAGGCTATGGAGGGAGAAAAATACAACATGTGCCACTTTTGGTCCAACTTTGAAATCGCAAAGCTCAGCTGGTTCCGCAGCAAGGAGTACAACGATTTCTTCCAGATGATGGACCGAAGTGGTGGATTCTGGATGGAACGGGTAAGTTGCCAACATGGAACCGAATCTTGCAGGATGAGAATTTAGCATGTCAACTAACTCGGCTATTAGTGGGGAGATGCTCCCATCCACTCTCTAGCTGCCGGTGCCCTCCTGGCCCCTCGAGATATTCACTACTTCAGAGACTTTGGATACCGACACACGACCATCCAGCACTGCCCCGCCAATGCCCCTGCTCGACAGCTTCCCCGCCCCCCCTTCCTCGAGACGACGACCCAGGATGAGCGGAAACGAAAAGAAGAGGACGAGTACTGGGAAAGCTGGGACGAACCCAAGGAGAACGGAGTCGGATGCCGCTGCCGATGTGATACCGACATTGTTGATGTTGAGGGCAAGGACGGCTCATGCTTGGCCGAGTGGGTTGACGTCGCAGGTGGCTGGGCCTCACCGTAAACGAACAAAAGGAGCTTGGGGGGCCTTTTTCTTCTTCTTCTTTTGGAAATTTGAATAAAGAACGGCCTGGTTCTTCTGCTTATGGAGCCGGCCATTAATGAAGTGCACGAACTTAATACAGACCAAGGAAAAACACCAACAAGGCCAAGGTGTTAGGACACGGCTACAACGTCTCATCTATACAAATGAGGGAGGCGATGGCGACAGGCTCGTGTTGTATCTTGTTTTGGGGTATCTGGAGGAGGGGTGCGAAGGCGGAAAACGGTTCTTACTCGTGTGAGGCATGGGGCTTTTCTAATGGTCTCTCATGCCTCTCTTATTATTATTTTCAGACAATGCTTGCCACTGCATCTAGGATACAAGAGGGATGAGCACAAGCGACGATGATGAGGGTCCTTTTTTTATACATACATATATATTAAAGTAAAGCAAAGGGTTAGGCGATGGGAATTCAATGTGTGGTTTTTTTTTATCGGAGAAGCATGTTGTGGTTCTTGGGATGAGGCGGGAGTGAGGGCAGGCGGCATTGTTAGATGTATTACTTTTTACTTATTGTGTGGTAGGCATGAGGTAATGGTTTAGGCATAGTTGTATTAGAGATGTGGAAGATGAGCTTTTTATAAGTTTATTTGAGCTACGCTTTCAAGTCTGAAATGTGATTTGTATAATGTCATGTTGGGTATTGTGATGGATGAGGTGCCTAGTATAGGCAATTATATGAGAATGTTCAGGAGAAGACAGACTTGAGTTGGACCAGCTCCTGAGCTTATTAAACCAAACAAACATGCCGTTCGAAATGAAACTTCCATCTTCCTGTTCAACGCCTGATACCCCTGATGTTCACTATCGAGCCTCATACGTCGCTTGTAGAGGCGCCACAACCGTACTGTAAAATTCATGCTGGAACTTATCCAGATCAAAGTCCATCTGCTCTTGATCAGCAAGAAAGACGCTGTATACGCATCGCTGAGCGGCGTTAAAGTAGTATATCCCAGCTTCTAGCTCTACTCGATCAAGGTAGTGCTTCAGCGGACGGTAATCGTGTTGAAGTATAGCAGAGAGAGACTCTTGACTGAAGGATCGGTTGACTGCGAGTTCGATGAGGAGGATGCCGAGCTCGAAGATGAGGCTCTTTGGAGTTGTTTGGCCGAGTGAGGTGGATGATGATGCTGGTGATGAGAATGATGTCTTGGAGATTATGCATGAGAGGTAGACTTTTTCGGAAAGGCTTATGTAGCCGTTTGCTTGTTTTCGTTGGAGGAATAGTTTGACTTTACGTCTGTCTAGGCCGTGGGAGAGCCAAGGACTTCCGGAGAGGTATAATACCGCCCAGGCTAAAGAGGCGGCGATGCCGTATCTTCGTTTTGCGGAGAGGGGTTGGATGGCGGGAGCTACGCGCTGGGATTCCGTGGCGGTGATTTTCTCGAGGGAGATGTCTCGTAGGATCTTGTCGTGGTTGCGGGATACGTGGCTTAGGGAGAAGATTGTTTGTTCGTGGGATGATGAGGGGGTTGGGTCTTTGAGAGAGCCGAAGACGTCTTCGTGGGGGGATGAGTCGAAGTCTTTGCAGAGGTTGGTGATTGGGGGAGGGGTGGGGGTGATGATTTCTGAGATGTTTGGGATGATTGATGTGTCTTCTACGCTGGCTGCGATTTTGAAATATCGAGTTAGATGGTAATTGTGATGAAGGATTTGGATTATACGGACCTCTTGGGGTGGGGAGCTGTTTGAATGAATCTCGCGATTTGCTCCATATGCTATGCGCCATCTCGCGTAATGAAGATGACCGTCTTGATCGAAGAGTCGACGGCCTAGATCGTAAGGAATGTGGCGACATTGGTGGTGAATCTAAGCCCGTGGTCCTTTTGGTTGCTTCTCCAGCAGCATAGAATACCCTCCATGGAGCACTCCGAGCCTCATCCATCTCATGCAAAATACCAATCCGAAACGTCAAAAGAGGAATACCTCCCGCATGAAGACTGTTCAGCTCGATACACACTTGATGGCTCTTCGCCCCATCACTATCCAATCCTGCCTGAAGCGCCCGATGGAGAGCTCGAAGGGTGTTTCGGACTGATTCGCAGTTGCTTCTGCTGTACAGCCGCCTTACTCTCCTCATGGCATAGCCTTCGTCATGCGGGAGAGTTGCTGCGCTTTCTATGAGATGCCGGAGGTCGTCGTTCCAGTTACGCAGATCGTGGATGATCTTGTCGCATTTCTTTGCGCGGAAGCTTCGTTTGACGCGGCGCCATTCCCATGATGCCCTTTCGGAAGATTCGTGTGTCCATAAGGGCTGGAGTTTACGATGTGAGTATAGGTTGCTTTATGATGGAAAAAACGGCGATGAAGAACGCGGGACAAAAGCGACTACAGATAAACATCTTACTTTGCGGCTCATATCTACTTGCAGATTCTCCATCAATTTCATCATCATATCGTCCATCTGCCGAATAATAAAGAGAATCTCACGGTGGTTCTGTGGAAACTTTTGTCGTAGGCACTCATGCAGCTCGCGCGGCGTTGGGTGTCGCAAGCCTATGCTCTGAAAGGTCGCCTCGAGATGCATCCGCTGGATCTGCAGGTTGGCTTGAAGCGTGCTGATCGCATTGTGATAGCCAGTGTATGCTTCCAAAGGCTCCGAGTACTTCTCCAGCGCCCAGATGACAATGGGGAGGACGCTGAGTGCCAGGCCAACTGCTTCTGCCATTGTTGAGATTTGGCGTAATCTTTGGCTGTTGTGTGGGGTTTCAAGCTGTGCGAGGGAGACATCTAGACGTATGGACAAGTTGATGATCGGGCTGCGAAATGCTGAGTTGAGGCTTTGCCTCGGAGAATATCCCGTCTAGTCATGCGAGTTCGCAGGGCCCATCTTATCTCATGCAAGACAATGTCTTTGCCATGCGCCTTGCGGAGACGGAGTGCATTGGGGGCGATGAATCTTTGGACGGGACTGCGGAGAGTGGGATGGCGGGAAGCCATGGCCATTCGACGAGGTGGTATTGAAAGGAATCGCTTCCCTGCTAGACAGGGGTAGCTGAAGTGCCAAACCAATGCGGGCGCTGACTCGAGAGCTCGGTCGGGAACGGCGATGAATGCTGTGTTTCGGCGTGAATAGCGAGGCTGGGATGATGACGAATGCTGGGAGAAGACATATTGAGAAGATGGTCATTGCTTTATTGCATTCATATTTAGGTAGGTGTTTCAACTATTGCTCGGGAGGACCGCATGAGGCAACTGAGAGCCTCGGATGCCTGAAACATGTCGTTTTGGGACATCTAATTGGATCGTTGGCACTTTCACCATGCTATGTAGTCATATTCAGGGTCCTTGACATCGTAAATGATATAAATTGTATTTTCTCGGCTGGTGACCTATGGATATGGAAAGTGATGCAACTTATAATATTCGTCTATAGCGCAGTTTCGATAACAACCTTGTGACCCTGTCGATACGATCCCTGAGCCGCGGAAATTATTGTGACACGCTAAAAAATTCAAGAGAGAGGACGGTAGTTACGTCGGCAGCGAATATCAAATTGTTATATAATAGATAGTATATTCTCCCATGATAGTAAGGAAACTGTCAAGCTTATAGATTTGCGACCCGAATCGCCACCACCCGATCCGAATCTTGCCCAATCGAGTAACCACTTCGGGAGACCCGACCCGGATCGGGAATCCACCATCACCCGAGATGACGAAATCACTAGTCAGCTGTCAATGAATGGCCTTTGTATGAGCTCTGCAGAATAAGATAAGTTTAAATATAAATATATAAATATTAAATAGCCCCGAAGTTGAACTAGGACAACCACACAAGACACTGAATCATTTTAATTGCCAAGCACCAACATGATGAAAGCCGTCGAAGTCCTGGGCACCAAAGCCAATCCTGAAGTCACGCTCAACCCCGCCGTCCCAAAGCCATCACCAAAAAATGGTGAGATTCTCATCAAGGTTCACGCTGCGGGGCTGACTGGAGATGAAATCACCTGGTGGGAATTATGGGAGCATCCCATTCGAATTCCGGGCCACGACATCTCTGGAGTAGTTGCTGAGTTGGGGCCAAATTACAAAGGAGATTTGAAGGTTGGAGATGAAGTTTACTCCATGATTCATGGCTGGAGGGGACTGGGGCAAGCAGAGTATGCCATCGTGGAGAGCGACGAAGTAGCAAGGAAGCCAAAGTCTTTGAGCCATGCCCAGGCATCTGCACTGCCAATTCCTTTGTTGACTGCTTGGGAATCTATTTTTGAGCGCGCCAGTTTAAAAAAGGGACAGAAGGTCCTTGTTACTGGAGCTTCTGGAGCTGTGGGCGTCATTGTTGTACAGATGGCCTCTCGATTGGCTGGCTCTGAAGTTGTTGCACTCTCGAGCGCCCAACACCACGATTCATTAAGAGCACTCGGCGCTAGTCAGCTCGTTGACTACAACACCCCAAATTGGGAGGATACAATCACGGATGTCGATGTCGTTATCGACACCGTTGGGAACCCAGTCTTGGCCAAGACATGGAAGACGGTAAAAAGCCATGGTCACATCATCACAGTTGGACAGCCTCCAGCGGCGTGGGAGTACGGAAAAGGCCGACCTGAAGAGCTGGATGATTTTCCCAATGTGAAATGGCTCTTCTTCGTTGTTACACCAAAGACTGAAACGCTGGATAAAGTGGCGCGATTGATCGATGAAGGGGCGATTAAACCTATAGCTATTGAAGTTTTTCCTCTCAATAAGGTGGTTCAGGCACATAAACATGCCTCAATACGGAACAGGAAAGGAAAGGTTGTCATCGAGTTCGTACCAGAAAAGAATTGAACACGGGGTTTGGATAAAATGGGATAATTTGGAATTAAAAAATGAGCACTTGGATTCTGTTCAATCTAAACTTCTATAAACAATATACTCTAATGCCGTACGTGTTTGTCCGATAGTCGATGTCAATTACCACTTGCGGTCTATGTGATCGAATGCAGCAAACTTTCCTCCCTCAGTCCTCTTCATCTCATCAATCTGGCACTTGTTAGTTCAATCCACAAAGTAATTACAGTGAGAATATCCAGTATCATCCGCTTACCTCTTTAAAGACACCGTCGATCGAGACATCCAATGGCACCGGGGCCACCTCTCCAAAATTCAGCTTCTGTGCTCCAACGTTTCCCATGTCTGTCTGAGTCCACCCGGGACAGATGACCATGGACGTAAGCCACTTTTCTTCGAAGTGGACTTTGCGCATGAGATAGTTGATTGCAGCTTTACTTGCCCCGTATGCTCCCAGTTGTACGGGGTATCCCTCAATTTCGGCGATGCTTCCTACCGAACTCGAGATGACGACAAATCTTGGGTTGGCCGCATTCTGAAGAAGCGACTTGGCGGCTTGAAGAAGAGCAATGGGGGCTAGGGTGTTGACGGCAACGTGGGCAGAAACGTCATCCAGAGCCATCTCCATGACGGGGCCATATGCGTCAAGAATTCCAGCATTGGCAATGACGAGATCGAGATGGTCGATTCTATCGGAGATGCTTGCGAGGCCAGAGGTAGCGCTGGAGGTGTCCAGACTCTCAATCTTGGTGATGATGAGCGAGCTCTCGGTTCCACGGGAGAGCTCTAGCAAGGCCTTGGTAGACGAGGCGTTGTCGGGATTCCGCACGGCAGCGACAAGGATCGTGTTGTCTCTGGAGAGGAATTTTTTGGCAAGTTGAAACCCAATGCCTATCAAACGTTAGAATGAAGTATGATGAGATGGCGGACTATGCTGTCAGGTATACCTCGATTGGCACCGGTGATTAGAACAACAAACTTCTTTGAGGCAGTCATGTTAATGAAGTACGTGAAGTAGTTTTAAGCACGATATAGGTTTGAAGCTGTAGATAGATATTTGTTGATATTTGTTTGGTTGACGGATTGAATTGAATCGCTATTGCTGCTCTTTAGCTTCCATTGCGGCGACTCAACTACTTATTTATCTTTCGAGCTCACAATGTCAACTATCTCCGTCTCTTCGACCACTATCGCCGTTCTCTCCTTGTTTAAACGATTCCTGACAAACCATTATGTCGAAAAAAAAATGAATAATGAATAGTATACTCTGAATTTGTTGCCATCAGCGACAACAAGTGACCGAGAGCGACCGACGCCGTGCTAAAGAGGCTGAGCGGCACCATCCGCTCCCCATGCCGCTCCAGGAATAGTGGCCATTTGTCAGCTTCGCAGTGAGTTGTGCACCGAGAGGCGCCGAGAGATTGGCGGGTCTATTTCTTCAACGTTAACTCCGTAGAGTGTCAAGTTGTTGTCTATTCTATCGGTCGTTTTCGGTCGCTATCATACTCATCATCAAACCGAGCAGTATATTGGCCTACGGCATTACGAAAATAGTCTTAACGTTAAACTGCGGAATGAATTCCGAGGACGAATTAACAGGGTTACCGCCCGACGCTTCAGTCGAGTTTCCCTCAAGTATTCCCCCGTCGACAGCATCCACTCATAATCCAAAGCTGAAGAGCCGAGTATGCACCCCGTTGTTTGTCAAGTTTACGCAGAATTATATTTACAAAGAAACTCCAGGCTTGTGATACTTGTCATAAAAGGAAAGTCAAGTGTGACAACGCTAAGCCGTCTTGCTCCGAGTGTGTCAAGTTTCACGCGCAGTGTACATACATAGTGGCAGCAACACCAAAGAAAATTACGCGCCGAAGGTGAGCTTGCATTTTTCGTTTTCTCTCCCTGAAAATACTCTTTCAATAATCTTTCTTTGGCAAATGTGCATCGAAATTCATCATCTGTGTTGTCACTTCTCCATCCTAATACGTAGCTCCAGGCCGAAGAGAAACGAAACTCTTGAAAAGAGGGTCAATGAGCTTGAGAGTCTTCTGCTTCAGGCTGTTAACAGCCTTGAAGCCACAGCCTTCAACCAGAATCATACAAGTGAGAACACTTCAGTACAAGAGCTTCCTGCAGTTTACAGTTCGAAAAATTCCTCGCCACCCCCAAACTCTACGTCAACCACCATCACAAGCGAACCCAATGCTCGATATATCGAAACTCCGTTGTTCAATAGAGAGCTTGTGACCTGGATTTCTGGATGTTTCAAGACTGTGTCTGTATCAAGGCCGCCTCACGGCCGTACCAGCCATACCAGATTGAGAAGACGGTCAGATTTCATGGCTCTTATTCGATCTTATTTCAACACCTACAATCGAATCGTCCCGCTCTTCGATGAAGATGACTTCATGAATAAATTTGCCGAACTAGACATGGACCAGATCCGGGCGGATGCGGCATTTTGGACTGCCACAAACGTCATGTGTGCCATTGCTCTCCGCCAACAAAATATGTCATATTTTGCCGACTCTCCCAACAACCCGGACCGCGAAGCGTGGGAATACTTGGACACTGCATTAGACAAAGCTGTGGAACTCACAATCCAGGGTAGCAATGACCTCCTCGCCATTCAGGCGCTGGTGGGAATGGCTATTTTCCTACAAACCGCGCCAGGCGCCCATGCGTCATCGACACTCCTTGCTGCTGCGAACCGTTTGATCCTTCAAAATGGTCTTCATCTTCAAAAAGATGAACAATTTCCCGGGCAATCTGGATCTGAAAATTTCCGACTCATGGTTCAGCGAAATCGTGTCTTCTGGATAGCTTTCAATCTGGACCATGATCTTGCCTCCCGGCTTGAAAGGCCACCGCTAATACACGAAGATGATATCGGCGCTGATCTTCCTCTATTGCATCCAGAGGATGGACTAGGCTGTATATCATCTATTGATAATTCTGCAAAGGTCAACTTCCTGCGGGCACGATCTCACCTCGCTCTTATCGAGAATCGTATTCACCGACGACTTATGTCTGCAAGAGGGAAACGTCAAACAGCCCTTGAACGAGAGGCAGCAGTCAGTGAACTAGAAGCGGAACTTGACAATTGGAAAGCCTCATATCCAGATTTAGGTGTTACTCTCGATTATCTTGCTACAAATCGAGCTCTGTGGGCGAATTTTGAGGGAGTAGCGTTTCGGACGTTGCGGACCCTTTCTCTTGCATGCCTTGGTTGCCATACTAATTTGCATGGTTTATCTTACCGGTCTCTACGAGTGCAAGAATGGAGTCGTCCCCGGTTATTGAATACCGCTGATCCAACAGAGATCGACCTCTTGCCATCAATCTCAGACGTATATGGAGATGCTGGACCTCCCAATTGTTGTGTTTCAGTAGCGAGAGCATCTTTGATTCTACTTCATCTTAGCCAAAACACTGATCATGCTTGTACATGGTGAGTCACATTGACCCGAGAAAGCATTGCCCGTGGGCTTAACTCAGTTAACAAATATCTTCCGCGTGTACAGGTATTCACTGCACCATCTCGTTACAGCGTTGATTATCCTCGTCTCTAATGCTGCAAGAAATCCCCTGACTGAAGAATCGATGGCAGATATACAGCTGGTGCTTCCAGTTGTGGAGATGCTCCGTCGATTTGAGGAGGTCTCAATGGATAGTGGAGTAGAGAATTCGAAGAAGGTAGCTGCTCAACTGGTGCATGAGTATGCACGTAGGGCGCTATTTGACCAAGCAGGTTTCGTGGGGATGCAATCCGAACTTTGCAAAATACCCAACAATGTTACACAATAAGAGACATGATTGATTAAGGCAATCGGTATATAATAAACATACTCGTACTATGAACGTAAATAAAAAGATAGTTCAATAGAGAGGCATATGGCTTTATTCACTGTGTCCTGAGCATACGAAAGAATGCCCGGGTATTCAACCTGACTCTATCGGCCCTTTCCCTCGTATTACGCTACAGAAACCTATACTCAAGCCTCTGGAAACTTGAGGCATGATGTTGATATCGTCGTTTGTTCCGGGCCGCACCCGCGCCACAATGACAAAGACTGTGAGTATACCTTTAACTGGAAGACTCGGGCAACTCTCAGCCCTCTATATGCATGTGGCAGTTTTACTTGCCTTGATCTCTGTATGTTTGCCTTTGGGATTTGAACTATTGGGCTCGGGAAATTTTTGCATACCTCACTACCAAAATTATATGTAACTTGAAGTGTGCAGTCTCTTCATCTCTTGGTCATTGTGAAGCCAAAGAAGCTATCCATTAACATTGAGATGCCATCAAAAGTATCTTTCTTGGGATGATCAATATTAACAAACTTCATCAATTCGATAGAAAGCATGTAAGCAAGTGCTTACCATATATACAATCTCAAACTCCTTCATAGCTATGCCAATTTTCTTACTGCTTAAATGGCCAACCACCAAGACTTACAGTTAGCAGGTCATTGTTAATAATTTCGTCTTTTTTCGCCTTGAGCTCATCCACATCCCAATTTACCCACACCATTCTTCCCTTGAGAAATTCGGCCTCGTCACTAACAGCCCAGACACCGAAATCTCCCGAAAGTTCAACTAAGGAACTCAGTTAGTCGCTTGTAGAGTGTACTCCTTTGGCTATGTTACTCGCAGGAGAGAGGGTGTAGCAGTTCACTTACGTGTATCTATGCCCTTTTTCCTACCAACCTTTGCCGACATTTCACTCATCACACGCCCGGGATGGCAGTTTATTATGAACACATCGGGGCGCTCTGCTTGAATGGCGTCGATCATACGCAGCTGTGCCATTTTCGAGGATAGGTATGCGGACATGCCGGGGAAAAACTTTGCATCTAGGTGAACTTGCCCACTGGACACGTTCAAGATTCTCGGCGATGCAGCTGCAACAGAGAGATAGGACCTGATTACATGAAGGCTGCCCTTGACATTAACCTCAAATGCCTGGTACCATGTGTCAACATTGTCCTTCAGCGCCGAGACTGGCCCATCGAAATAGGCAGCGTTATTGACGAGAATATGCGGCTCTCCGAAAGTGGATTTGACAGTCTCAAACGCATTCTGGACTTGATCTCCGTTGACAATGTCTCCCTGAATTAACAAAACCTCGGTTTGAGGGTTGATGGCGGCAATCTGAGCCTTATTATCTTGCAAAACTTGAAGTCGCCGTCCAATTAGTGCGAGACGAGATACACCGGCTTTTGCGAATGATTGAGCAATGGCTCCTCCAATGCCACTACCACCACCCGTAATAACTGCTGTTTTGCCAGCCAAGGTGAGTTCTGGGCGAGTTGGGTCGATTGCTGGGTATGTGTCGTCGTGCCATGTCTTTGTCGGTGAGGGCCAAGGTGCAGCCATGATGAAATGGGCTCTTTTAATCGATGATGAAAGAAAACGTCAAGCACTTCTCAGAAAATTTGGTATGAGGATAAGAGCGTCATTATACGTCTCTTATATATGGTTTCTGACCAGTGTTTAGTCAACGGATGCATAATCCGATGCAAAAGAGCGTCCGGAACTTCGGCTCGTTGCCTATTTGCCTATCTAGTGGCAATATACATGAGGAGTTAGATTGCATCATATAAGATCTCTGTCTCCACCACGATTAGTCTCCGAACAATAGTCAACGATAAGTGAGACTGCTAGAGCTATGCTAACTACCTATAGAATGTTATGAGGTATCTTTACTCTCGGCACAAAGAATAGATATCTGCCAAAGTAAAAAGAAAGAGAACCTACACATTAAGAGAAAACCATCATCTTTCATAATATACAATATCTGAGTAGACAATAGCGAGAAGTGAGAATACATGCAATGCTTTCAAGACTAATAGGGACAAAGATTGTCTGACCTATACTTTTCTGACCAGGAAATCATATCGTGGGCTGTGATTCTTATCAATCACGGATTAATAAGACTGATTACTCAACCGCAGCACCACATCCAGACCATAAGTGTGTACAGTACGAGTTTGACGTTGCGCCAGGCACTTTCAATTTGCCGTAATGAGAAACATAGTATTGATGCTCACTTATGGTGAAGATCTCCTATTGTTCTAAGAGAAACCAAATATTCCACGTCTGCACAATGGCTGCATTTGTTCCATTATTTGTAATCAGCATTGCCTGTTTAGGGCAGAGATCTTGGATGAGAAGGGTTCGAGATAAGGGGCCGGATGAGGAGTCATAAAAACCCTCCAAAGAAGAACATTGCAACTTAGCGGGACCTCCATGTCTCCATGTCTCTATTAGTCTTGCAATTGGTGGTTTGTGTATTTATACAGATGGGCTCCGATCATTCTATCATTGTGTTGGTGCTAGACAACGTAGATCAGTCTTACCACCGTGCAGGTCGGGTCACCTAAGCTCAACACGAGACAATACGTGCTTCAATCAAGTGGCCCATATATAGACAAGCATTTTTTGAGCAAGCAGAAAATTCGGGAACGTTTCCCTTCATTGATGAGATAAATATAGTTTAAAGTGCTCCTTATCCACCCGTACAACACAGATTGACGACAAGTAAGATGCAACTAACACCATACCTCCGCTACAAAGCTTTACGGCAGTCAACACGCCAATACTTTATAAGGAAATAGAAGAAAATAAATAAAAAGAAATTGTTGGAGAGTAGTAAATGTCTGTATTGAATAAGAACTTTGGGAAGTGTAGGGTGGGTGAGGTACGTGCCTGTATGTACCTTTGTACCTTATCTGATAAGACAAGCTTATCGCGGCAAAGCATATCTCCGATCCGACGAGTTTTCCCAGGCACCGCCCTCAACACCATCATACCGAGCTCCAACCTCTAGTAGCCAAGCTCCTCACTGCTGCACCGCGATAGCATTGCACGACCGGACCATTGCCGCTTCTTCAGCCACCCACTGCCGATAAGCAACTCCCCGCCAAACATCCCACATCATGACTGGTCGCGGTGGAGGCGGCGGTCGCCGCGTCTTGCTCCCGCCTATGTAAGGCTTCTTCCAATTGACGATTGCTGCGGAACTGCCAAAGCTGACTCTGTGTAGCAACATGATTTTTAAGCTCCTCCAGAACGTGAGTACATGATTCAATCGACTCCCCTCCTGATCCCATACGACACTCGCACGATATTGGAGGCCGCGGGCCTGCGTGACGGAACTGCTGCATGGCTAGACGGCGCACGCGATTGGAATGTCTCCTAGCAAGTCATTGGCAAAGCGCCAAGTCACCGGAGAGAAATCCGTTCAAACTATGAATCGAGGCATCTAATGCCAGGCGAACGTTTGATATTACGACACACAACTCTTAACACCACCTCCACGATGCCACCTCGAACCAATGACCTCTCGACGACCAAGGACTGTTGCGCACACTTGATGGATTATGTTCTGACTTTTGTTTCATTAGAATGCCACAGTTAGTGTCTGGCTGTACGAGCAGCTGTCCATCCGTATCGAGGGCAAGATTCGAGTCAGTAATGTCTATATCAAATGTTGCCTTGAGCTCCCGGGCTAATACTGGAAGTAGGGGTTCGACGAGTTTATGAACTTGGTCATCGATGACGCCGTGGAGGTTAAGCAAGTCACAAAAACGAACGAGAAGGAGACAAGGAAACCGCTGGGTAAGATGATCGAAGCATTCATCCTCTTGGGCTCTACACGTTCCAAACCAGCTAACGCAGCCACAGGCCAAATCCTACTGAAGGGCGACAACGTCTCGTTAATCCAGAACCTGTCCAACTAAAGTGCTTTTTTATATTAATTCTGATACTATGTAACTATGGAGTTGCGTTACTTTGCAATGGGATACTCTTCTTATGAATCACGCATCAAATCTGGGTAGCAAATACACAATGGGCTCGGCATAATGAAAATTGATTCAACCAAGTAGAAGCTACCGATCTGTATCTGGTGAAGACGAATGAATGCGATGGTCCGTATGTTATGCTGCAATCCGTTTGCATTGTGCTGTAGATTCAAGGTTGAGATATTGCCGATGTTGTGCCGACCGCCACCATATACTATGTCGACTTTGCTAGACGAGGTGACGATTCTTCCCATTCGCATCTTTCTCTCGCCCGTAGAGACCCAAGTCCAGCCTTTCAGACAGGCATGTGCAACGCGCGCTGAAATGCGCGAGTTTATGGACTATGTCCACAGTGCTTTCTACGAGGCTACCGGGTGGAGGCGTGACAATTCGTATGCAGCGCTGAATGCGACGACAGACGGTAATTTCCCCTCCATGGCTATTCTGCTATCCATGAGCTCTCAACTAACGCTTCAGCTAAGCTCTGCTGAATTTCAACACTCCTCGAGGTCTTCGCTTGACTCTCTCGGCCCTTGCAAGCCCCAATTTCGCCACCTCTTACCAGCTGGGCTCTGTGGGCGTGGTGGATGGCTCCATCTCCTACCTATTCTCCTCTGTTCCTCTTCGAGTCCTCCTAACCCCTCAGTCCGAAAACATTCCGCTCCCCGATCTTCTTCGATCCTATCGCCCGTTGACGCCGGTTGCTCGACGAGATGTTCCCTCACTAAGACACCCAGACGATACGGACAAGACCAATGAGTCACTTCTATACGGCAGACTATATCTACCACGGTCACAGTTAGAGGCGCTCCTGGTGAGGCGATTATCTCCCGCCTTGCAGGCACAGTTCAGCGCCGTATCGGGTCAGCACCTCAGAAATGGGGGCACTGCATTGGGATTGCTGCAATACGATGTCGGAAGTTATGCGCTTGAAGGACTTGCTTCCACAGATGGCGGACTGCTAGGGTTCAGAGGAGTTTATAATTTTGGAGGCGACTTGAGTAATAAAAAACACGTCCAGCAATCGGTCACATCTACTACAGAAAATGGGAACGGACACGGCAGCGGCAATGGGGACAAGGAGAGGATAT